GTTCTAGCCAGGGATGCAAGTTAATCCAACACATTAGTCTTCCATTTGTTGCAAAACACCAAATTCAGCAATGTTCCAGCTTTTTGACAACAGTCTGTAAATAATGAAGTTTGGACCAGACAATCCAGTGATTGACACCATGATCTACTCAGCTGGCATTGAGTGACACACATCAATCATGTCAGCAACACCGATCCCACTTATCTCCTCTAATGTCAAGCATTGGTTTCTGTAGATCAATTCCAAGTATAATTCAGAGTGCGATAATGAGTGAGGTGGGTTTTACGCCACTTTTAGCAATATTCCAGCAATATCATGTCAGGGACACCAGAAATGGGCTGCGCACATTGTATCCATGTGGTGAATTACACCTGTGTCTTTGACAAGTGAACCCTTTAACCACGGGTTACCCCATCGCCTTAGATGTGCAATAACATATAAGGACACTAAACAGCAAGCCTAAATTCTGCTAGTCCAAAGTATTTCTTTAACAAACTTATGCGGACTAGCAGACGAGTTGCATCCCTGCTAGCAGAGAGACACAATACTGCTGACTCAGCGATTCTCATGCAAGAGAGAGAGAGACAGTGAAGACATGGCAAGGAGACATTTGGACCTGGTTACACCAGAACACCAGAGAGTACAATAGTAAACTCAGGAACATTCATCAATAAGAAATGAATGTATAAATAAATATGCACTGAATAAACTTAAGTACTTAATGATTTGTTGGAAAGAAGAAACAAGTTTTACCATTCAAAATATTACAGAAATTCAAATGATTTGACTGTTATTGTGTTCCTTCCATGCATAGGTGAATCTCACCATGGCTAACTTCAGGACCCCTCTGTTTCTAAGGACTAACGATCCCATCTGTAACTTTATTGTTTCCTCTACGCATGGCTCACCTCTTTTCCTTAGGCTCCCTGGCCTTTATTTTTCACTGCCTTGCCTATTTGCCATTTGAATTCTTTGTTTTTCGGTCAATGTCACTGTTTGTGTTTTTCTGTTAAGTCAATCATTGAGTTTGACTACATGTCACTGAGTTTGACCAACTGATTTATCTGATCACCTCTGTTAAGATATGGTGACACGAGATCACTCAAGTCACTGAGTTTGACCAACTGATTTATCTGATCACCTCTGAAGATAAATTTTGGTTCCTGGGCAATAATTCTGACCTAGAAATCCAACAGGTGATCATTAGCCAGTATATAAAATTAAGCACCAACTTAAGGAGGTTCTTTCATGACTCTAATCTTAAAGTAAACAGGAGGTCCCAAGTTTCAAATACCACATTTTTCAGATCTGCTTGATCCCATTAATTTGAACAATGTGTCAACTTAAAAGCTCTATGACCTTATAATTTCACCACTATCTATGTATTATCACAAACACGATCACAGCACTTTGACTGACTGACTGAGTGTAGTTTTACGCCGCTTTTAGCAATATTCCAGCTACATCACGGCGGGGGAACACCAGAAATGGGCTTCACACATTGTACTCATGTGGGGATTCGAACCCGGGTCTTCGGCGTGATGAGCCAACGCTTTAACCACTAGGCTACCCCACCGCCCCCACTTTGATTGAAATAAATCTGTGCCCGAATATGGTAGACAGAATCGTCTCAACGGTTAGATTGCATTTTAGAACTGGACCATGGTCTTACATTGTAATGACCAGGGTGCCGTTGTACAAAACGATCTTAGCGCTAAGGTGACCGTAACTCCCATACCTTAACATAGACTTAAGGTAGCCTTAGCGCTAAGGTTGTTTTGTACAACGGCACCCAGATCCATAGTCATTCATTTATTAGGACAAGCATGGGGCACTTGGGATATTTTCTTTCATGTGAGTCATGCTTACTGGTCAAAGATCATAATTCAAACCAGTCTGGGATTCAAACCATACATAAATCAAGCTTGGATTGCATACTCCCATGGAGTTGAGAATGAATGCCATACTGATCTACAGACTCGGGTAATAGTGTAGTAGATTAGGGTGTGCTTTAGTACAGGAATTAAATCACAAGATCCTTTCATGGCAAAGAAAATTACTCACATCATAATTTGGTTTAGTTATTGCCCAGGTGAAATATTACATGTTTTCTAAAAATCCATCTTTTTTTCATCCCTTGTTCCCATATTTGATCTTTGATTTCAACATATTATGAAAAAACAAACAGTTAAAGAACTGATGCACTGGAAATATATTCTGATGACTGAAATGAAAGTAATATTAGAAAACAACGGTGAATATTAGCAGTAACGTGATTTAGCATATTATTATGACTGACATAATGGACACTGACATTCCCATCATGCACTACAATAGATCTACACAAACACAACTAGTTGTCAGGCACTCAATATAATACTTGCCGACATATAAAAACTCAAGATCGGTGGCGCGTGTTTCTATATGACCGTGAAGACCAAACACAATAGAATGACGCTGGCCGCCTACGACTAATCAGAAAAATGAGAGATATGGAGACATAATTCTAATTGATGAAAGCTGTGTGGAAACATGTACGTCTAGGAAGCAACAACGACACATAATGGATCTAGAAAATGAAGGTATACACATATATCAAGGAATTGGAATGACAATATAGGCTTAAGTTAAGATGGACTTATGCTATATTTTTCTGACCTTTCTGAAAAACTAGTTGCCAAAATGTCCAATATTTTGTTGATGATTTTTCCCAAATATTTTTGCAATAATTCCAAATTGCATAACAAACAGTGACTCATTCATAATTGTTTGATCGCCAGTCTAGAAGTTGGCAAGTCAATAATAAATACAAGACTTTAAGGATAAGAAGATCTTGTTTATTGCCTAGAGCGACATTTCGGTGTAGATTCTTACACTTCTTAAGCTTAAAGTGATAATGGTGTAAGAATCTACACAGAAACAGCTCCGGCAATAAATAAGAAGTTGTTATCCATACGGTCGTATCCTTCATTACTGACTCATTCAGCTGTGGCCTGTAGAAGAACAGAGATCGAAATGTATACAGGTGAGATTCAGAGTTAGTAACACCATAGATGGAATTTTCATTGGATAAATCACCTTTAACTTTCCTAGTTCTAAAATAAATATTTGATTCGCAAAAGTCAGGACAGTACCTATTTCAGTTATGCAATACAGAATTCATGAAATCTTTTGTATCCAGGTTCATGGTGACAATATGCTGTTCTGACAGATGAACTGAAACTTTGAAACAATTTTGGCAAAGATATAAGTCCATCTTTCTTGTCTGAAAATTCCTCCAGTAAAATGAATGTTTGACATGAAAATATTTCTGCAATCAATTTCTAAAATGCATATATAACATGAACATTTCATACAAAAATAACTCAAGACCCTAAGCCCGTATCCTGACCTACAGCAAGAAAGGGCTGATTGATAGGCTTTGGATAAACATTAACATTGTTCCAAGCTTATTAGCTTGTTTATGTGATGAAGACAATAGCATGACATGCCAATAAATGTCGCTGGCTGTTCATGATGTCACCATCTTCCAGAGGCAAGGGAGGCAACTGATTATATATATCAGTTGAATATTACAAGTTATGACCCTTTTATGTCTCTCCTATTCCACCAATATTACTTGCATTTGCTTAAAACAAAATGGTGATGTCCCGTCAAAGCATTCTGATTGATAATCAAGATCAATACTTTAATAAAACAGGTCTTACCCTGCAAAGTGCATCACCTTACTTTGAGCACCTTGATTAAAAATGTGAAAAGTTTTTCTGTAGATGGTAAATATGCTTTGCAAATCTTCCAATCAAATGAAATTATCATCACAGTTTAAAAACTTGATGTTAATTTTATTGCATGATTTTGATTGGACTAACAAGAGACTCATTCTTAAAGACAAAACACAGCTCCAACATTTCAGCCTAGTTCTGCAAGTGCATAACTGGCTTTTTACTTCAGAAAACTCCCTTCCCTGGGGAGATGTGACAGTTACTTTTGTAATGTTGTTCAAACACCAGGGAAAAGGTATACTATCAGGGGTGGAAAAAAACCATTGCCCGACGTCCGAGTCCAGTGTTTTTTTCTTTCGGGCAAGAAAATTTGTATATCACACTGTAGCGGTGTCCAGTTGACTTTCCAACGTTAATTGTGTTGTTTATTTTAAAAAATCAACAAGAAAATGGCCGGTATAGCGGAAAAATTGATCAGGGCAAGTGATTTTACATGTGCCACTGTACCGGAGTACACTAGCAATTTTAAAGTTACTTCCACCCCTGACTATACACTAGAAGGTATGGTCACTATACACAGGGATTTAGGGAAACAGAGGTCTGGATAGGTTCTGTGTGCTGGGCACTGTTCTATAGGGGTTTCCAGGGCAACAGATAATTTTTGAACATATTTGTACTTCATTCAGTCTTGTTTATCAGGTATTCTTAAACTAATATGTAAACTTTCTTATATGTTAATATAAGATATGTAAGGTAGGCAAGTTGCAAACGATACAATGACTAATTTCACAGAACAATTTTATACAACAATTGTTTTTTTAAATTTTCATGCATATTAGTTCGGAAAATTCTAAAAAATAATTGGGTACTGATCATATTTTTTGCAAATTTTTATTCAAGTACCTGGAACCCTGGGATACTATGTACACCAGCTGTCTCAAAACACTGCTACAGGAAAAGGGTTTTGGGAATTAAAATAGGGACCTCAACATGGCTGTTGGTACATATGGATAACTTTAAAAACATTCTTTTCAAATTCATAAAGGTTATGCAACAAATGTTACTAGGAATCAGTTTATGTAAAAAGGGCTGAATGTATACATGTGTGAGACACGATAGTACACTCATGCAAGGAACAGTCTACTTTTCTGCAGAGCACTGGATAAATAGAGCATATGATTGGGGTTATCTTATGTTTTAATATTTTTGTTGCTTAATTTTTCCCCTGTTCATCAGCTGTTTCTGAACTATCTACAGTGACAGTGTAATGATACGTACTTGCAGATCTCTTGGAGTACGTGGAGGATCCACTCTTGATTGTGTTCATCCAGCTTCCGGTCTGGGATCTCATGTCCGTGGCCATGCCGCTGATTGTCAGAGTGTTGGCAGTGCTGGCCGATTCCTCATCTGGTCAAACAACATACACTCTATGATGTCTTCATGGATACTACTGGAGTAGTGAGTTGCATTTACTGCCAAGTTGACAAGCACGTCAGTTATAACATGTTGCCAGCTTATTGTGGAATGAAATTGATGAAAACCAATAATTGAAATCCTCAAGCTTGGGAATGATGAGGACAAAGCAATAACCTCAAAAGTTAGCCAAATCTTGGATTTAAAACACAATTATCAGATCCTGGCATGACTAAGGGACAGAACTCTGTACGGAGTAAATGTTGCCAAAGATAACTGGCCACCTTGGCCTTAAAATAATCAGTAAGTTGGGAATTCCTGAAAATGTTTTGCAAAACTGTATTCCATTCATTTCGATTACTGCATGTAATGTTTACTTAACCAAGCAGAACTTACATCCAAAGGTCATGACATTGGAGGTGAGATACTTCTTGTCAGCGTGAATCAGCTGGAAGAACTTGATGAGGGTGATGATGTCCTCTCTCAGGTCAGACCCTTTCTGTGACGGGCAGATGATGGGGCCACTGTCCAAAAAAAGAAATGGTGGAAAAGTTTCAAAACTAAAACAAAACATTGTTTGCTAAAAGCAGTGATGCATCTGTTTCTCCACAAAAGTGGGATGCATGTCATCGAATCCTAATTGCATTGATTGATGCTCATGGAGTCAATCATTGGATTGTCAAAGTTGATTATTTACAGACCGCAGTCTTATAGCTGGAATATAGAAGAGTGTTGCGTAAATCAACAAACAAATAAAGAAAGTCACAAAATTGGGCCAACACCTATTTGAACAATGGCCAACATGTTTCACGATTTTAACAAGTTTATGATCTCTTTTTTATAACATTCCAGGAAAATGCTGTCATGCGATCATGCTCACTCAAGCATTCCAAGGAAGCAATCGGAATGTATGACTTTGACTGTAGGTAACTCAGGATTTTATGATTAGCTCTGATTATTGTTATTGTTCAGGATACAAGTCATAGCATATGATCGAGATCGTAATTACTGAAGTGTTGTTCAAGATGACATCTCGTACGAGGGCAGTAAAATGAGCCAACTTAACTTTATCGGCATGCAAATTTGCGCACTGACTTTTCAATTTGCAGAAATAATGACACATCTGTGTGTATCCCCCAATCTCATATCCTCGATGTCACCCATTTTCTCACATTAGTTCTTACAAGCCATTGCCACTTTAAGCTAAAACTATTTGTCCAAAGGAGAACTTGGACGGGCAGATTTGTGGCCATGCCTCATCATGTTTAAAGTGATATCACACATGTTGATCTATTTACCAGAAACACCATTAAAACCTGTGTTACAGGGCTACAGGGCTACAGGGCTACAGGGCTACAGGGCTACAGGGCTACAGCCCTAATTACCTGAAAGAATTGGTGCCATAGTTAACAATAAGGGATATATCAGTGGCGGATACAGCTTTTTGAGAAAGGGGGGTGCACACTTCATATTCACCCGAGTTTCAACGGTTTTAACAAACTTTCAAATGTACAAATATGTTATATTTGGGATTACACTTTCTTAGCAACCCCACTCCCATGGGATCCGGGTGCGGGTTCAAATCCTGGATGGGACTCAACCACCTATGTATATGCACATTGAACATGACAGTGATGATTTCATGTTCATGCCTTACTGTATTTGTTTTACGCCATGCTCAGCAATATTCCAGCTATATCTCGGCGGTCTGTAGACAATCGAGTCTGGAATGCAGCATGAATGGACTACACAACTGGGATGCAATGACATGTGTCAACCAAGTCAGCGAGCCTAACCATCCAATCCCGTTAGTCGCCTCTTACGATAAGCATGGGTTACTGAAGATCAATTCTAACCAGGATCTTCACAGGTGCAAGACATATGCACACAGACACAGGCACAGACACACATCTGAGAACTACATTATGTCAGCGTACGACACTTTTCAACCCAGCTTACATCGTGTTTAAATACAGTCCAAATGAGCAATGAAATGCTGTAATGTTAAGACAGTATTTTAAAGATATGACTCACCAAAAGAAGTCAAGAGTTGAGGCGTAGATGCGTTCTCTGAGAACACTCTTGGCTGATGTGTTTGGGAGTAGATCACCTTGGAGAAGTGAGAGACCCATCGACAGAAGTCTGAAGGGCAAAAGTGATTATTGTCATATATTGTAAATATTCAGCAATAATGGACCAGAAATTGACTTATATTTATGTCGAACCCGGGTTTACTTAACCACTAGGCTACCCCACCACCCCATATATTGTAAAACACACAATGGATCATATTTATGTTGGTTTACTTACTGTAATAACTGTGACGTCCAGACCATTTTGTATTGTATGCGGGTAAATGTACTCACATAGTGACCAAAATGTAATGAGACTCACCTGATTGTAAAGAGACTCACCTAACTAACAAGACTCACCTACTGTAAAGTTATTTCTCTAACCAATAATGAGACTCACCTGATTGTAAAGAGACTCACCTAACAAGACTCACCTACTGTAAAGTTATTTCTCTAACCAATAATGAGACTCACCTGATTGTAAAGAGAAGAACAAGACTCACCTACTGTAAAGTTATTTCTCTAACCAATAATGAGACTCACCTGATTGTAAAGAGACTCACCTAACTAACAAGACTCACCTACTGTAAAGTTATTTCTCTAACCAATAATGAGACTCACCTGATTGTAAAGAGACTCACCTAACTAACAAGACTCACCTACTGTAAAGTTATTTCTCTAACCAATAATGAGACTCACCTGATTGTAAAGAGACTCACCTAACTAACAAGACTCACCTACTGTAAAGTTATTTCTCTAACCAATAATGAGACTCACCTGATTGTAAAGAGACTCACCTAACTAACAAGACTCACCTACTGTAAAGTTATTCTCTAACCAATAATGAGACTCACCTGATTGTAAAGTGACACACCTAACTGTTAACCTGAATGTAAAAAGACCCACCTGAGTCTCACCTGAATGCAAAGAGACTCACCTGTCTGCAAAGTGACTTATGTACCTGTAATGAGACTCACCTGACTCTGGGTCCTATTGCTGCGGTGTGCCTGGAGATGATGCCCGGCTTCTTCCCTACACTGACTGGGAGGGACTTGTTCAGCAGAGTCAGGAAGATGTCCACTTGGGAGGCGTTGCTGTACTTGGCAATCTCCAGTCTCTCCGCAAGAAACTGATAACCAGGGAATCAATCAGTAGGCCAAAAAAACAATCAAACTAGGCAGAGTCAATATGGGCAGAAAGGCCCTTGGAGATGTTTTCATCATTGATGTAATCCTCGATCAGATGCTGTTGCAAAACTTTAAAGATGCAGTGAAGTATGTTAAAAGCCACTCAATAATTTCATGGTACTAATGTTTTCAGATTTATAGCAAGTCAAGTTTATAGTAAACAAAAATTTAGTTCCAAACTGAATTTAGCATGGCTAAATCCACAGGTAACTGACATTTAAATTAACCACACAGCATGTTTATCTCCTTAGCTGACCATGTATTTGCTGATAAATGAAACAGTGATGCACCTTTGTCCAGATCTGGTGAGGCATGACATAGGGTGGGTTGGGAGACAGAATCTCATCTTCTCGTCGTGCCAGGGGGTCAGGGATGGGCTTGTCCTCCTCAAATATCCCCAGTTTCAGGTCAATACTCATCTGCCATGCTGCCGCCATCTCGCACAGGAACTGAAATATGTCAAAATATTGTCAAAAAATATGAGGGACTGCTGCACTCATACACATTCAACTTGAGCCACTACTGTGTGTTTTTGAAACATTAATGCAACAAAGATCGCTGATTGTGCTTTACACCAAAGATTTAATTATTGCAGGGATTAATCTGTATAATCAAATCTAAACATATCTGTTATACAATGACACACAAGAAGTCAAGGAATACGTGGAATATCATAAGATAGCAATATTCAAGTTGGATCATATCAGCCAGTCAATAATCAAGTCAAAACTTACCAACCAAGTGATCAAAAGCATGAGGAAAGACGAAACACCATCAGTGTATGGCGACATGCTATCACGTAGTTTTGACCATATTATCAATGTAGTCATGAGCGATCTTGTCAATGTTGGTATACTAATGTTACCGTATCTATTTTAGCACTGGTTGCCCCAAATGCCTATTAGGCCTAGGAGCTTCCCGGCATGCCGGTACCCTTGTCTTATTACTGAAACCAACCCACATGATATTGACAATTGTATGTCAGCGGTTACTCTGTAAGTAAAAGCTTTTCAACAGCATAGGTAACCATGGCCATTAAACCAGTCCACCCCCTGCTTGCTATGCTGGATGTAGAGAAAGCCTTACCTCTATGGCAAGGTTTGACCTGGCAGCTAACAACCACTCCCAGCATGCAACACTGATCTCCATTATCTTCTCTTTGAAGTGACGCACTGGTGTCCAGCACAGGGCGTGGAGGAGATGTCGACTCAAGTCTGGAGGCAGAAACAAACATGACGGTACGGTACAGATACGGATGACAGACTTATCCTGGTTGTTACTTACACTGACTGACTGACTGACTGACTGACTGAGTATGGTTTTACGCCGCTATTAGCAATATTCCAGCAATATCACGGCAGGGGACACCAGAAATGGGCTTAACACATTGTACCCATGTGGGGAATCGAACCCGGGTCTTCGGCGAGACGAGCCAACGCTTTAACCACTAGACTACCCCACCGCCCCGGTTGTTACTTACAACCACACATAGCTTTGTTTGTCTGCTTTTTTGTTGTGTATTGCCCCGTTTTCCCACTGAGTCACCAGAGCAGGTGATGAAAGGGTGTTCAATCTTACATATCACGATTTTAATTGCGTGCATGGGTCACATGTTCTTTCCATTCCCTGATGTTATCAACTTTCTTTTATACCTCAAGTACTGCATTATTGCAAACCCTATGTTTTATATTCTTTCTAAACTTTCTTGCATTTAAACAGTACACAAGTTAGCTAACACTTTGCCTTTGGTTGGAAACATAAAACTGTGAGCTAGGAGTTTTCCGTTGCTTGCAGATTTACAATTTCAATCAAACCCTTGTAGTTGAGTTCCAACTATCATTATTACTTATCATGATTTCCATGCACTTACTCCATGAATGACATCTAATAACCATACTGAGTATCTTATGATGTTCTGCTGTGATGCAATTCCTAGAATGTCATTTCTTATCTCATTACCAGTAAACTCACTTTTTGTGGTAATCTGGAGTGAACAGATTCGAAGCATTGCCTGCTTGCAGGCCTCATCTGAAACATAAGAAAACAGAATGATGATCAGGTAAATTTCGTCAGAAATACAGTCACACCTGCAGTGTTCACGAATAGCATCTGACCCTCTGACAAATCCGGCAGATTCGCCAAAGGTCTGATAGAAGTCTACAACCCACCGACCCCAGTGTCTGACTGTATATTTCACAATGACTTTGACTGAAGTTGTTATATGTGACATGTGACATTTGTTTGCTATTAATAAATCTTATGTTTGTTAATAATTTCAATGCCAATTATAAGAAATGTTAAATCTGAAATGTGTGTTTAATTTTATTCTTTGGATCCTGTGAATTTTCAATGGGTCAGACAGACATCTGAACTTACAGGACCCAATGTCCTGTTTCTTTGAAACACCATTCCTGAACACTGACACCTGGATATACAACCCCTGGATATACCGCCAAACTGGTTATACTGCCTTGAGTTGCCAGAACGGATTTCCTCTCTATTATAAATTCCCTGGATGTAATGCCAAACTGGATATACCACCACCGCTAAGTTTTTGGAGAACAAATGTTCCAATTCCCTGGATATAACACCAAGTTTGATACTACTGTTACATTACATCTTGATAATATCTGTCAGTTGTGTGAGGTCCTCAATTTGCCAGTGTCATTGAAAGTGTCTTTAACAGCGTCTTGTATCTGTCAACTCACCTGACTTAGAATCCACCAGTGCTGCCTCCAGTTTCTTGCACAGTGTCTTAGCCAGTTCCTCCTCACTATCACTGATGCTCAACATCCCTGACACCTGTTGAAGATATACACTCTCTCCGGTCACTAAATACATAGTTTGTTCTAAAGACTCAGAAATATTCCAGATGGATCAATGGATTGACATTATGTGTGTTGTCTGTTGTATAACATCTTACTCAGCAATATTCCAGCTATATGATGGCAGTCCATAAATTGAGGAGTCTGTACTAGACAATCCAGTGATTGACATTATACGCATCAGTCTATGTAATGGGGATGCAATGAAGTCAACCAAGTCATTCAGCCTGACCAGTCTATCCAGTGAGTTGCTTCTTACGAAAACCATTTGTTGCTGAAGACCAATTCTTACCCGGATCTTCATGGATGATGACCTTATGAGCAGCAAAGCCACTAAGCTACAAAGACATACAACCAAATCACCAAGTTCACCTGATATATTCAGTCACCTGGACTAACAAGCACAGGTAGGTTTCTAACGCCGCAATCACAAAGATTGTTGCTTAATGCTGCACCTAACAATTTTAAGCCATATGGTGGCTCTCTGTAGATAATTGAGTCTAGAACAGACAATCCAGTGATTGTTGCAACGAGAGATCATCATTTCCATGATGTCCTTGACATTATCCATTTGACAAGGGAGGTAACTCACCTCCCCGAGGTATCTGCTTCTGAGACTGAGGTTAGCCATGAAGTTGGAGCTGTCGGTGTTTACACAAGTCGGGCGCCGGTCCAGTGTGGCTGTCTGTAGAAAGTGAGAGGAATGAGGGTTTAACATTGCATCAAATTTTAGACTATTGCACTTATACTGCAACATGCACGTGAGTGTGCATGTGAGATGGTATTTGTCTGGACTAATAGCCTGGTTCTGCAGGCTAGCCCACTGAGATACCACGTCACAGTTAAACATGGATACCCTACTCAGACACAATACACTGACTCCAAGCTGGCCAGACTTTGTTCTGTCATTTTAATTCCAAGTTCCAGGCAGGGTAAAAAGAAGTACCATTCATGTCTTTTGGCATGAATTGAACCACTGGGTTGAACCACAGACCTACTGATCTACAAGCAAACACTCTATTTACTCAACCAAACTGGCAGAACAGGGCTTCACTTATCATTCAAAGCAAAGGAAGGCAGTCAGTGACATAAACAGTCCTTAATAATTTCCAAAGGGAAATGACAAACATCGACCTTTGTGAAGTTTACATCATTTTTGTCTTTTTCCAGTAACTTGTTTAACATTTATAATAAAAGATGAACCAGCAAATAATTCACTTTTAATTTCTGTTCCGAATGACACCTTATCATTTCATGAACAAGCAAATGGTTCACTTTTAATTTCTGTTCCGAATGACACCTTATCATTTCATGAACAAGCAAATGGTTCATTTTTAATTTCTGTTCCGAATGACACCTTTTCATTTCATGAACAAACAAAATGGTTCATTTTTAGTTTCTGTTCCAAATGACACCTTATCATCTTAAGAATAGCAAACGGTTCACTTTTAATTGCTGTTCAGAATGAACCTTACCCTTTCAATCCCCAAACCAAGGTTTGACCAAACCCCACCGTTACAATGTCTTGCGTCTAGTACCTACCCCGAGTGGTGCAGCATTCTGGTTGTAGCCGGCATAGTTGAGGACGCTCTCTGTGGCAAGGGCGAGACCACTGTGCTGGAACAGCCCCTCGGAGGAGTTGTCCTGCTGTAGCAGGTATTCTATCAGGTGGGACCGCGTGGCGTTGGGCGCCCACTTCATCGACTCCTGCAGGATTCCTGCACTGCGGGCGGCGAAATCCTTCACCGTTGTCTGAAATATTGAACCCAACATGAGACAGAGAGAGGTGTAGGGGACTCCAGGATTAAATCTTGTCATTCATGCCTTGTGGGGGAATAGTCTTAAGATCGAAGTTCTATTGAAATTCACTGGCGTGTTATTGCCACTGTTTTCCACTATAATCTGACATAGCAGGTGTAGTAGATAGTTCTACCAAGATTATTTGTTTGTTGTTGTTTAATGCTGCACTCAGCAATATTCCAGCTTTAAGGCAGCTTTAATACTCAAGTCCAGACAATCCAGTGATCAACATCATGAGCATCGATCTACACAATTAGGCAGCAAGAACGTGCAATGTTTCCCAAATTTGGAGCATCTGAGTGGATGATGTTTTTACCTCTGCAGCTAAAGTGTGTGTGGCATTTGTATTTTTGCTTGTCGTGTGACTATTCAAACTCTTTCCAGTTTTAATGTTCATGCAGATTTGTCGTCCAGGAAGCTATCTCAAACGTTAGGTTGAGTGATTCTGCACAAGTCACTCTCCACGTATGACCTTTGATCCATTTAGCTTTAAACACCTTGAGCGTTTGCATGTGACATGTCTTGAAGTCAGTTGAATCAGGTAACCAGGAGAATTGGTTGTCTTGGTTACGTGAGAGAGTTTGAACAGTAATCTAGTTCTATTTCTTCTGTCCCCTGATGACATACCTCTCTGTCTACCATGGTGTCCATCACCCTCAGCTTGTACCTGGTGTTTGGGATGGGCATCTCAGGAGCATCTTGGTGAGGATCCTGAATCAGAGCCAAGATGGACTTAGCACACAGTAACAATGTCTCTGAAGTTATATCATCATCAGTATTTGTTGCAAATTGATTGACATTATGAGTAACAGTTGACTCTGTTGTGGCACAAGAACACACACTCAACAAAGTCAGTGAACCAGAAGACATATCCATTTGAAAACGATACTAACCATCTCAAGAGACTTGGAAAGAACCTGGAGGATGTCCAGCATCGTCCTCAACACCGTCCCGCTCCACAGCAGATGTGGAAACCTGTAAGAAACCTCACACTGTACCTCAAATCTTGACAGCTTCTGCCTTACAACATGAGTACAGACACCAAATCACTATCCTGTAAATACTTCTTACTTTACCTAAGGGTCAGAATGTCTAAACTGAATTATATCTCAGCTGATGTATCTTTTATACATGTACTCCACACTGACCAGAATCGTAGAACATTGAGACGGAAGAAATGAAATGGATATATTCTATCTAAGGGACCGTTCATAATTTATGGCTAGGGGGAGGTGAGGATGATTTTAAGGGGGGTCACCCATTTTGTTCTAGGGAGGTGTGGGGGGTGTAATCAGTTTTGTACACATGTTCTAGGGGGGTGGTCAGCAATTTTGTACATACAAATATTTAAAAACTATGCTTAAAAATATGGGGTTGGGGGGTCATTGATTTTGTACATGACATACAGGGGGGGTCACTTACTTTGTACATAAATTTTAGGGGAGGCATTCACATTGTACATGCCTCTCCATAAAACCATCATCACCCCCTAGCCATAATTATGAACGGTCCCTAAAAGCCATGCAGTACCCTGTTCCACTATGCAATCCAGAGCTATGACTGCTGCAAGTCTATGGTGAAGTAGTTAGTGAGTGGGTTGGGTTTCACGTTACATTTAGTAATATTCCAGCAATATCATGGCGGGGGACACCAGAAGTGGGCTTCACACATTGTGGGGAATCGAACCCAGGTCTTCAGAGTAATTAATTAACACCCTAACCACTAGGCGCCGCTTATTGTAAGGTTAAACTGAGTTATGATCACTTAATATCATAAATATTATGAACAACATTCGCAGGTCATTTCTGTCAATCCCAGTGAGCCACGAGTCCATTTTCTACAAGTGACTCAGGCCTATCAATGTAAAACAACAGATAGCATTTAAACTTTGGAATATGCACACAGGCTAAATAGACAAACAGCCACACAAATTACACATGAGACACTATCCCTATAAATTGTTCATAACAATCACTAAAACCCACCATTTTCAGTGAGTGAGTTTAGTTTTACGCCACACTCAGCAATATTTCAGCTATATGATGGCAGTATGTAAATAACAGTGTCTGGACCACACAATCCAGTGATCAACAGCATGAGCATCAATCTATGCAATTGGGATTACATGACATATGTCAACCAAGTCAGCAAGCAGGACCACCCGATCCCCTTAGTCGCCTCTTACAACAAGCATGGGCTACTGAAGATCAATTCTAACCTGGATCTTCACGGGTACCATTTTAGTCTATTTTCAGCGAACTAAACACAGAAAATCATGCAGCTGCAGCAAACCAAGTGTGAAGAAATAAGGTTGGTTGCAGCCTCCTTATCTATTCAAGTTTGTGAGCACTGCAGAGTTTGGTTGCACAGTGCTGGTTTTGTCAGCACACTGAGTTTCACCCACCTGTCTACAAGATATGAAAGGAACTTGTCGGCTACTCTTCGGATGGCCTTCTGTATGTGGTTGAACTTGACCAGCAAGAACTGTGCATGGATGTCCAGCTCTTTCTCACGCTCCTCGGTCCGAGGCTGCAGGTTAGTGTTAGTTGGGGTGAAATTGTATGACCATTTGAGCAAATACAATAGTACTGTGATCTGTTCATATTTAGCATACAAGATGCATGTAGAAATCTGTAAACATTTATTTTGATGCAAAAAAGGAAGGTTCACTCGCATACACCATAATCTTCATCTACATACGCAGGTATGTATTTCCTTGCAGTTGGAGATCTTTAAGACACAATTAACAAACAATGAACCTGACCACAGGATCTATAAAGTCACATTTACAGCAAATATAGGTTACTAGGGATCTGTTCTGACACACAAAGGCCACTGGTAGGTTGTGGAGTTCCAGAAGTTTGATCTCACCTTAGCTGCAATGACGTCCAGAAATCTCTCGAACACTTTCTCTGCTACGATCAGGATACACTGCCACATGCCTGGAACAAGATGTTGATAAACAGAACAACGTCGAACATTGTCTGAAGACAGAGCACCATCAAACATTGTCTGTAGACAGCGCACCATCAAACATTGTCTGTAGACACAGCACCATCAAACATTGTCTGTAGACAGAGCACCATCAAACATTGTCTGTAGACAGGGCACCATCAAACATTGTCTGTAGACTGCGCACCATCAAACATTGTCTGTAGACACAGCACCATCAAACATTGTCTGTAGACACAGCACCATCAAACATTGTCTGTAGACAGGCACCATCAAACATTGTCTGTAGACAGGGCACCATCAAACATTGTCTGTAGACAGGGCACCATCAAACATTGTCTGTAGACAGGGCACCATCAAACATTGTCTGTAGACAGGGCACCATCAAACATTGTCTGTAGACAGCACACCATCAAACATTGTCTGTAGACAGAGCACCATCAAACATTGTCTGTAGACAGGGCACCATCAAACATTGTCTGTAGACAGGGCACCATCAAACATTGTCTGTAGACAGGGCACCATCAAACATTGTCTGTAGACAGGGCACCATCAAACATTGTCTGTAGACAGGGCACCATCAAACATTGTCTGTCAAGCATTGTCTGTAGACACAGCACCATCAAACATTGTCTGTAGACACAGCACCATCAAACATTGTCTGTAGACAGAGCACCATCAAACACTCTCTGTAGACAGGGCACCATCAAACATTGTCTGTAGACACAGCACCATCAAACATTGTCTGTAGACAGCACACCATCAAACATTGTCTGTAGACACAGCACCATCAAACATTGTCTGTAGACAGCACACCATCAAACATTGTCTGTAGACAGAGCACCATCAAACATTGTCAGTAGACAGGGCACCATCAAACATTGTCAGTAGACAGGGCACCATCAAACATTGTCTGTAGACAGGGCACCATCAAACATTGTCTGTAGACAGAGCAACATCAAACATTGTCTGTAGACAGAGCACCATCAAAAATTCTACCATGGCTACGTGAAATGCTCGAATTTGATTGGTCAAGCCACAAAATCAGACGGTATCAATTTGGATTGAAAATGCGTCTGATTTCACGGCGCTTCACTGCGCATGTATACAACCCTGCCGCACTACTTCAGCTTGGCCACCAACATGACTAACATCAACACAACAGACGTGATGGAAATACTGATGAAACATTTATTAAAACTCGAAAAATACAATTATATGATTTCTCCACCACAATTATTATGGGATCTCACTATCGTAATTATTACCTTCTATTATATAAATATTCAAACTCAAAAACAATACACAGCCCCACACATAAACAAACAATATCTAACATATAAATCAGAAAACCTTGTAACAATACATCCCTATCTATCCCTATTTGTGCGGTAAAACGTTTGTAAACATTTACCTACCTGGTAAATGGTATATTTGTTTCCTTTAGAATGGGAAATTCAAGAAGATAACGGTCAGGCTAAACACAAAATTTGCCACTCATACTCCATCATGTCCCGCTGCATCGCTCAAAATGTCAAAAACGTAACCATGAGAATTTAGTTCTCTTCCACCTTCCCCGAAGCTGTCACTGCAGCTATGTTCAGACACTTTGAAAAGCTTGGCCACAATCCAGTCCCAAATGACGAACAATGTTCCAAGGAATCCCAAGTTAGTCGAAGGTACACAAAGCAGCAGTACTGTCACTCTTCCTCGCATGCCGGGTGGCGCACGCGACGCGAAATCATGATCGACACTCACCGCCCGGTCATTAAAATTAACAGTCTTTGATGACTTACAGGTCATAGGTCCATCAGAAAAGGATCTATTCTTCGATTCTGCAGGGTTCAGGTTCGACAGTCAGTCAAGTATTTTCCACTGTCACTTCAATTTCAACCTTTCGCAAATGTAAACACTGGCTCGTCCGCCATTTCAAACTGTTATGCAACTGTCTACTTCCAAGAAAATAAGTAGGTCAGACAATTCCATTATACTGTGGACAGGGGGTACAGTAACACGGCACACAAAACAATAGGCTGGTTTCGGTCTTGTGGGGTTATGATTATAAAACCAAGCTCTTATGTGTTACATTATTGCATTGAATAAACAGTAGTATGTTTTCTTTGGACAGAATATTTTTATGTTGCAATGTTAACAAAAATACGAAAAGGAACCTACCACTCCTTTATCAGACGAAGTTCAATTCGCCTCTCATCCCATGCCGATTATTACGCAGTGTCTTCCGCAGGACGAGGAAGTTCGATTTTAAATCAGTTATGGTAGAATGGAGATAACGACAGTGTTTGAAATTAAATGAATGTTTGATCGATTGATAGTCTCTAATTAATCATTTGAAACCTCACGCTACGCGTTCGGCTTCAAATGAAATTTAGAGACTATCAATTCGGTCTAACATTCATCTAATTTCCAAACACAGTACGTTTATCTCCTAATTGTCTGTAGACAGGACACCATCAAACATTGTCTGTAGACAGCGCACCATCAAACATTGTCTGTAGACTGCGCACCATCAAGCATTGTCTGTAGACACAGCACCATCAAACATTGTCTGTAGACAGGGCAACATCAAACATTGTCTGTAGACACAGCACCATCAAACATTGTCTGTAGACACGGCACCATCAAACATTGTCTGTAGACACAGCACCATCAAACATTGTCTGCAGACACAGCACCATCAAACATTGTCTGTAGACAGCGCACCATCAAACATTGTCTGCAGACAGAGCACCTTCAAACATTGTCTGTAGACAGAGCACCATCAAACGTTGTCTGTAGACAGGGCACCATCAAACATTGTCTGTAGACAGGGCAACATCAAACATTGTCTGTAGACAGGGAACCATCAAACATTGTCTGTAGACACAGCACCATCAAACATTGTCTGTAGACTGCGCACCATCAAACATTGTCTGTAGACACAGCACCATCAAACATTGTCAGTAGACACAGCACCATCAAACATTGTCTGTAGACAGGGCACCATCAAACATTGTCTATAGTCTGAGCACCATCAAACATTGTCTGTAGAGAGAATACTATCAAACATTGTCTTTAGACAGAGCAACATCAAACATTGTCTGTAGATAGAGCAACATCAAACATTGTCTGTAGATAGAGCAACATCAAACATTGTCTGTAGATAGAGCAACATCAAACATTGTCTGTAGATAGAGCAACATCAAATATTGTCTGTAGATAGAGCAACATCAAACATTGTCTGTAGACAGAGCACCATCAAATATGTTATTAATAGACAGAGCACTGGCAATTGTCTGTAGACAGTTCACAGTCCAATATTGTCTACAGAGCATTGTCAAACACTGTCTGTAGAGTACTGTCAAAGAATTTCTACAGTCTGAATACCACCAAACATTGTCTGAAGGTTACTTTGTTTCATAGCACAGCACTCTGGAGTATATGATTGCAGCCTGTAAATATCTGAGTCTGGATCTGACAATCCACTAATGAATCCTGTGAGTAGCAAACTATACACATTACCAACCAAGTCACCAAGCCTTACAACCCCATCCATGGTGCATACCGAACAACAATTTTGGCAAGCTAGTGCTCATTTCTCCTCTCTCTTGCAGTGACTGAGTGAATTTTTTTAATGCTGCTATTGACAATATTCCAGCCATATCATGGTGTCCTCTACTAAGTCTCGACCTNAGCAACTGTATCTCTATCAAAGGAGCATGATATCAACCAATCAGCAGGGAATCAGCAGAAAATATATCCTGTAATTGGATTCTAGTTGGAGACAGACTGAGACATATCACATGGACCAGGTCTATCAGTGAATAAGTAACCATATCTATATCAAACAAGTATGATACCACTTCTTTGATGGGCATTTTAGAAGTTGAGTTGATGAAGAATAATGACAATTATTATGGATATACAACTTCTTTTATTCTGTGATGAGGCGACATTTTGACATAGGTTCTAATGACAACGACATTAGAACCTATGTCGAAACGTCGCCTTCCACAGAATAAAAGAAGTTGTATATCCATAATAATTGTCATTATTCTTCAAGTATGATACCACCCAATCAGATTGAGGTGGACGGAACCCTGGGAATTTATTCTGCCAATGGATTCCAATAGGAGACAGACATATCACCTGCATATTTAATACTCAGTTAACAGACACTCACTGTCTTTGTCTTTGTAGAGAGTCTTGTCCTGGAGGTATTCAAACAAGCCGTGGAATGCATACAGGTCATTGGAATGCATGATTCTGGAACAGAGTGAGGAAGAGGTTCACAAAGGTTGCTCGTGCAGATGAGGGTCTTATCATAATTCCCTGCCTCTGCTAAACGATAACATTAGTTTAACTATTTGTCATAAATTAGTCTCTCTCTCGCAGACTTACCTGAGGGTCTCCAGCTTGTACACAGACATAAGATACGTCAGCTGGGCAAAGCTCAGTCTGTTGATGATGGGCACAACTTCTGGTGGGTTGTCCAGGACGGTGCAGATCTTCATCCTGAACCCATTCACATCAGCCTGGAGCAGAGAACAGAGCATCATATCAGTGGATCACTACTGAGTTACGTCCCTTCCATATATGCAGACATTTCTCGTACTTTCTGCAGCAGATCTAGCATTACGACATGATACCCAAATCTCAAACAAAACACATGCTGGTATATTAGGTGACTGTATAGAGGTGGAATGTGCCCACCTACCCCTCCCCTCCTCCGTCTGGAGCCACCAGAGACTTTCTTAACTGTCATCACTTCTGTGGTCGTATGCATATGTCGGGCGTTGTTAACGTCAGGCGTAACACACTACGTTGGGCTTAGCAGCGCCCTGCTCTAACACGTCATTCACAACGTTGGTCAAGCCTAGGCGTTACTCTGCCCGACTTAACAGATTTACGTCGAGGCGTAGTGTGCTATTTTCAGATTATCAAACGTTTTTAAACCATCGGGAAAGGGCGTGAAAAAACTTCGTGACACATCCGTTTCAGTCATAATCATGGAAAGCCAAAGAAAACTGAGAAAACCAAACTTAAAATATGTGGAGGAATTGCGATAGGAGCCATAATCAATATCACCTCTGATTGTATCCACTATCGGGAAAATGTCAATTCTCCTGAATCTAAATCTTCTGTACAGATCAAGGTCGTCATTTTTTTACTAAAGGGTTTAACCTTTCTCTAAATATACGGTTTCTGTAGAACTGTTGACTGCAATATCGGTAAACAACTGTCGCCATTACAGGGCTACGCCTGGCTTACGCCTGCTGGGTAGGTGGTGTAAATGTACAGCGCTGCGCCTGGCGTAACTTTAGCTACGTCTAAGATATGCATACCGGTTTAACGTTACGCCCAGGCGCACATTTTACTTACGCCCATACTAGAATTTACGCCTGACATATGCATACGGCCACTGGGCAGCAACCCACAGGATGATGCAAGATGGTTATTGTTGGAGCACTAAACATGAATGTTTAGTCATCAGGAGATAACTTATCCCCCGGCTGAGACTGTATAGAAACGGAGTTCGCCTTATTATAGCTCACTGCTATAACGCCTCCTTTTTCAAACCAAGAAGAAAAGGAAAAAAACTGTACAAAGGTGAGGAGAAACAGGGTTTAAGAACATCTTCCAGATTATACAGTTATAAGATGTCTTGAGAGCATCCATGACTCATTGTGTGTATGCATAGATGCATGTGTGTGTGTTTGTGCACCTGTGGAAAAACCAGTCTGTATAGTCTGCTTGCAGTGAAAATGTACCGATGAATTTCACTTTAAACAAAAATGTAAATAAAAAAATCTGAAATTAAGATTGCGAATCCTCATAATTTTACCTTGCCAGCTGAACATTTAAATCTGAGAATTTTATTCATCAAGTTGTTTAACAAACGATCATAGTTTCAAATCGCTATTATTGATTTGTATAACAAGGGGGTATGCTCATTAAATGAAACACCGAGAACAAGTAGGGTTGGTCTAAGTTAATGCTCATCATGTGCCACACGTGCATTTGTTTCACTGTTCCAACTACTGTGCTTACCCCCTTGTAATACAAACCAATAATAGCGATTTGAAACTATGATCGTTTGTTAAACAACTTTTATCCCAAGATGAATAAAATTCTGAGTTTAAAATGTTCAATTGGCAAGGTAAACTTATGAGGATTTGCAATCTTAATTTCACTTTATTTGATTTTCATTTTTGTTTAATGTGAAATTCATCGGTACGTTTTCACTGCAAACAGACTATAGTTTGCTCTACATCATCGTGTGGAACTCACCTGACCAACTGTATCATTGCGGAGAGCAGCACTGTACTTGAGCTCCTTACGAAGATGGTCTCTTGTGATGAGCAGTGGTGACTTGGTGGATATCTCGCACACAGCCTCGTACCAGTCCTGGGGCCAGAACCCTGCCACAGCATGCAGAACATCACAGAACATGTCGCGATCACACTGATGGAGATATTAAGGCATGTGTGGCCAGAGTATCTACCTTCGTACATCATCCCCCAACCAGTTCGTAAACTTCATGACTCAGTATATTTCAAACAGGGCTGAGAAGTTTTCTGTTTTAGTTTTAAAAATAAGGGATGAGGTATTGAAAAAGGATATGCATCTTCAAAATTCATACGCTCCTCTGATAAAAGGGCATACAAGGAGCCAATGAATTTTATGCGTGACATAAACCTGATGAGTGAGTATGTCTTTCAGAACTTAAACATCCTTCAAGGTATACCATTGCAGATGACATAAAAAATGGCTTCACACATTGTACAAATGTGGATAAGCATAACCAGCATTATTCCTAATGAGAAGCGAACACTTAAACGTCAAGGCAACCAAATGGTTCAACAACATGAGAATACAGATTACTCGTCAACTGCTACGCAGAACTGCCAGATATCTGCGGACAGCTTATGGATGCGGCGCCTTATAATTACTTAGCCCAACTTCTCCCTACAACATGGGAGCCTACCTGACTCCTCTTCGGTGAAGCCCATCACTACACAGTACTGCCAGAAGTCCTGGAACAGCTTGTGGAGGCGGCGGTTCGGGTCACGGATAGGAGGCAGTCTTCTTGTCAACTGATAGAAAATGATTCAATTTGAACAGATATGGCTTTGTGATTTACCGGTAATACTGCATTTGTCTGAGGTAAGTAAAGTCGACATACATAAAATCACTGCCTTAAATTGAGACCATCACTTGTGGCATCATCTTACATGAAAATATCAACTTCATCACTCAACTTATTTACTAAAACACTCAACACAATTAGGAGGTAATAATACTGTGTTGGAAAATCAGAGGTATATAACATAATTATAATACCTCTAAATTTGATTTAAAACCGAACACAGTGTGTTTATCTCCAATGTACCATAACCGCATTATTAAGATTTTGAAAAAATACATACTGTGTTGGAAAATCAGAGGAATATATAACATGATTATACACCTCTGAATGACTTGAATTAACCAATCACAATCCATCCAGTATTTACTGAAGTCATGGTAGAATTCCAGATATATGACAGCAGTACATGGAAATAATTGAGTCAGGACCTGAACAATCACCGATTCATAACGATGCTTCCTGTCAGCCTGTACCACAAGCTATCTCCCAATTCGCCAACCTGACCACCTGTAACCTCTTACGACCAACACAGGTAGCTTTGGAATTCAGAACATCCACCATGGCATTTCTTTGGCATCTACTGTATGATTAGTTGGTTGGTTTGTTGTTTAATGCTTTACATAGCAATATTCCAGCTATATGGTGTCGGTTTGTAAATAATCCAGTCTGGACCAGACAACCCACTGATCAACATCATGAGCATCGATCTACACAATTGGAATACAATGATGTGTGTCAGCCAAGTCAGCGAGCCTGACCACCCGATCCCTCAAGTCGCTTCTTACGACAAGCATGGGTTACTGAAGATCAATTCTAACCCGGATCTTCATGGGTTCTACTGTATGAACGACAGCACATGTATACTCACCACCGCAATGACTGGGATCAACACCCCAAGGTTCCCAACGCTGCTTGATGCCTGAAAACAGAAAACACAGAAACAACTCAATCCAGACCAGACATCTTGACTAAAATCATCTGAACTGCAATCAAAATCTTTTCAAAATAAGTAATTGAAAAAGGAGGAGAAAAAAGCGGAGGGCATGTTTGCCCTCTAGCCCCATCTGTACAAACAGCTCCCAGACCTGAGTCCTTACCTTCTTAGTCTGGGAGATCTTCTTGCTGGCCCGCTTCCCCTCCAGCCCAATCTGTACCAACAGCTCCCAGGCCTGGAGTCCTTACCTTCATAGTCTCGGAGATCTTCTTGCTGGCCCACTTGCCCTCTAGCCCCATCTGTACAAACAGCTCCCAGACCTGAGTCCTTACCTTCATAGTCTCGGAGATCTTCTTGCTGGCCCACATGCCCTCCAGCCCCATCTGTACACAGCTCCCAGACCTGGAGTCCTTACCTTCATAGTCTCAGAGATCCTCTCGTTGGCCCGCTTGCTCTCCAGACCCATCTGTACAAACAGCTCCAGCAGTCGGCCCAGCAGATCCAGCTGCTCACTCTCACCCTGGATGTTGGCTGCGATGTTGGCGAAGGCGTTGATCACGGACTGAGACACCTGTCTGAAGTCACAGACGATGCAACACTGCAGCACTTGGTCGACATGAGCGAAGTATATTTAACACTGACTCATTCGTATCCCTTTTATCTTAGAGCATATCCACCATACTTACACCACTTCAAGATGCACTGGCATAAGGTACATTATTACCCCAGATAAACCAAGGTGCCCACTGGGAACCCATTTTCTGCTGAGTAAATAGAGGCAGTGTTGATCACTTGCCTGAGGTGAGACCACATGTGTCATGTGTGTTTCATTGTGGGGCAGGACAGAAGTTCTAGAGACTCTCGGCTGCCAAACACGGTCACAAATCCAAGGACTCTCCGTGACCGATGTTGCTTTACTGCAACTGATTTCTGACCTGGGTTCCATGCACAAGACCACACACCACCACAATAAGTTGACAACCAACAGAAATACTAGTGGAAACCATATATCACTAAGCTACGTTTGTAGTTAGTCCTGCTTGAATGAGACAGAAATGTTTACTGTATCTACATTTTCAGTTATATTCTGTACCCATATGATGAAAACCTGAAGTACAGTAAATAGGTTCGGAATTAAAGCCCTTAAAGTTATTTGTCAGTTAAGATTAAATATGATAACATTTTCCCCTATGATGAAGTTGCCACTCACCGGTAGCCCCTTAACTTCTCATCCTTGTCCCTGCTGTAGGGGGAGCTGCTCTCCACGCTGATCTGGCTGAACAGACTCAGCACCTCCTGGTAGATCCCGGACTGAAACATTCATTGGAGGCAGACGTCACTCATTGTTACGCTTATTGAATTAATCCACAGGATCCACAAGAAACAAGCAGTAACACAAAAGTATTCCATGACTGAAACATTCATTGGGGGGCAGATGTCACTCATCGTTATGCTTATTAGGGCTCCTTGCCTCTAGGCAGGAGACCTATTGTAATCGTTCGGATTATTATTATTATTATCATTATTATTTATTATTCCGCCGATTTTTATACCAAACATAACTCCTAAACCAATGCTCCGAATCGCTTACAAAAAATCACACAGATGCGCACCGAGGTGTAGATATTCCCCTTAAAAATCTCTAGGCTCTTGGCCCAATAGCAAAGGGGAGATAATTCAAAATTAATTCCAAAATTTCAACGTTTGATAGCAAATATCTCAAGAACTGATTGTTCCAACACTTCCAAATTTCTTGTACAGATGCACAATCGAATTCCCAACTTCTAACCCAGTATCATCCCATCAGGGGTAGGCCTTGTCTAGAACCATCATGTCGACACAAATAACTGTAGGTACATACACATCCAGTCATGATCATACATCCTAGCTGGTCCACGATGAGCACATCCAGGGGCGAGGGAGGGGAACAGAAGCGCTGCAGGAAGATCTGGAGGATGGACTCCACTGTCTTTGGAATGTCCTTCAACCCCACAGCCAGGTGCCCCAGTGTCAAGATCGTGTTGGTGGAGATCAGTGTCGATTCCCTGTACCACACATACAAAAATCACTTAGTGTTCAAGTGATCAGTCCATACAACAGCCTAATTAGTCAAGCACTGTACAATCAAACTTTCAATATCTGTTATGGGAAAACCCGTATTAATAAACCATGCCCAAGCAGGAACATTTTATAAATCAAATTAAAATTGATTGAATTAATTCTAAAAAATGTTAAAGAAATTAAATTAAAATGTTTATTCTCAATAAAAATTCAAAACCATGTGAACCTGTTAGTTTTGTACATGCACATGCTAGAAACCCAAAACAATTCTCATTATTTTAATTACACATATTTGGTTAAACCATTCCTAAAATGAATCAGATATTCACGATGCTTTAATGTTTATGCCAACCTATAAACCTCTTAAAGTCAATGTATACACGACAACAAAGAGTAGAAATAGTTAAAAAACATTAAAACAGATACTACGATACATAGATCTGTTAGACGATATCGTAAAATTATTGAGCCACAATAAGCATTACACCATTTAATGTGAATATAATATTCTTTGCTGTTTAGAAAGAAGTGTTACTATGGTTCCCAAGAAAATGAATGCAGTGAATTAGAAAGTTGATTTCTACTGAATCTAAAACTAGACGAAAGCATCAGAAGAGTATATAATTTGTTAACGAGAAGAAACAACACTACAGACATTTTATATTGGATGTGTGAGCTTTTGTTCAAAATATATTATCATCACTGTAAAGCGCCACACTCACACAGCACTAGGAGAGTGTTGAGGGATAGAGGGGGGTGAAAGCAACAGCCACCATGGCATTATGGGACATTTCATCGTCCAACCAAAAACTTACTATGGCTGGGTCTAGATTTTTGAAGCTCTCTTAACGCTAAGATAGTCGTAAGGTAATGTTAAAGTATGGCACTTACGACTATCTTAGAGCTAAGAGAGTCGAAAATCTAGGCCCTGGTTCTTACAACAAAAACATGGGTTAATGTGGGTCATTTCTAAACTTAAATTATTGTTTAGTAATTGTTTGTTGATTAAAGTAATATTCAGAAGAAAATCATCTTGATGATGGCAACATTTAAATAATAGTCTGAACCATACAAGTGATTGATATTATGAGGAATGTTCTGAACTGTCTGGTTGAGGGGACAAATATTCACCTTGCCTGACCACCCAATCCACTTTGATGCCTGTTACAACGGTTACAACAGCCCATGTTATATTTGGGATTACACTTTCTGAGTAAAGTACATATTCTAGTACTTTTGGGGGTTGAATCCCATCTAGATTTGAATCCACACTCTGAGCGTGAGGCACCTAATTGTCAACACACCAAGTCAGCGATTTAACCCACTTAGCCACAGCTTCCACGAAAATGGAAGTGTATCAACTGGTTGTCTAGAAAATATACTTCGTGTACCCCTTTGACAAGTGTAAATTGGCATGGCTGAAGCTATATATGGCTGAAGTTATGAAAACACAATGCTGTTTAGAAAAAGGTCAAACAAAACATGTTCATATATGTATTTGGGGTTACACTTTCTCAGTTGAGTCTCGTCTGGAATTCAAACCCACACTGAGTGAGCATGGTTTTATGTCGCTTTTAGCAACATTCCATTAATATAATGGCAGGGGACACCAGAAATGGGCTTCACACATTGTACCAATGTGGGGAATCTAACCCGGGCCTTCGACGTAATGAGCGAACGCTTTAACCATTAGGCTACCCAACCGCACCCCCCACACTGTGAGAATGGGGCCCTTATCGCCTGAATTCACAAAAGGTTTCACCAACTAATACAATCAGCAAAGGTAACTGGGGAACCCTCTAACCTTGAACCCTAAATCAAGCTGTTGTTATATTGGTAAAAAAATACAAAATAAATACAGAAAAGATTATGATTATATGCCATCCCAGCACATTTCCCCAGACACATAACACTCGAAACAAACTCACAAACACAGGTTACAAAGAATATGTTATGAAACATGCAAATCAAACATGATACAAATCACAATAGATAATTTAAGAAAACTTTCAATGAATATAATTTGTATTTGAAGACGATTACGTCAATTTTAAAGTTGTGCATAAGACTCAAACAGTCAAGTGAAATGTACACATCTATACCTTAAATTAATGTTAAGGACTATGAATATTTTAGGGATATTTTCATAAAAAAATTGTGATCAGTTTTCACAAAGTAAATATATCTCCCAAAATAATCATGTTCCCTAACTTTCCTTGTTCAGTATACATACAGAATCTGTCTGACTATACTATATGCATATATAAGCACTTGTACACAGGGTAGGCCTAAAAAGAAAGTGTTGTGGTTCTGATTACCTGACCGACCCTTGAATTCTGGTGCCGAACCTAGTTTTTTCACGAGGTATGAATAAAATAAGCTTTCAGATACCATTGTTTTTCCCCGGCACCAACGGACATCGGTCATTCTGATAGAGAAATTCGACATGATGGTCGCAAGCTTGATTGAATAAACAATTACACATTGATAAATGTGTTATTAGTTTGTACTTTACTTCTAAAAAAAATGTCAAAACAAAAATTCCTTCCTACCTACCTACCCTAAATTTCAAAGAGGTGTAATCGGAACCACAACATTGTTTATATTTGGCCGTAGTAGAATGTATCTACAGAAAGCTTCTCTACGGATCATTAGTACTACAGACTCCATTAGGAGTAGAATTGATACTTAGTCTGACAATGCCAGTTAGTCTGCAGACAACCATATTACCAACACACAATAGACAAGCAGGACAAACTCTCATTTAAGTCAGACCTTAGTGCTTGTTAGCTATGTCAAAGATATGAGGCCGTCCCATCAACAGTCATCTTAGAATGACCTTTCACAACCTTTGAGTGACCAACGTATGACCAAATCAACATTAGCCACAAAGCCCCTTTCTATGACTTTACAACATCAGTTTCAAACAGGTGACTTTCTTTTCAGATTACCTTCTAAAAAATAATTATTCATAATTTTAAAATTGAGCAAAAGAAAATTCAGTAATGCCTAATAGATGGCAAGATGGTATTACAGTAATTAAGTTAAAAATATCTCACTAAAGTGAGAGATAGACTATAGATGAATTTGACAGAATTAGTTGAACAGTTTTTTGAAATACCTCAAATTAAACTTTTTGAGTTTCACGGTTAAAAAACACATTACAACTGTCACTTACAGATCTTATAAGCAACCTCCTGATTGTCAAAGGAAATGTCATTCTGATCTGCAGGGGGATGTCCTCATATTTTTGTTTAGCTGTAGCGAGAACTAAGATCGGATCTTATTGAGATCGGCAAACACAAGAAAGGACAAGACAAGGTTATAGGTCAACACGTGCCAAGATGCTGCAATATCACACAAAATGTTAATTGGAGTGTCAGAAAAATCAAGATCATGCCAAATTTGTACATGCTTCACATGAACATTTGAACTCATCAACAACTTTTCGTCTATATAGTTACATGCAAATGCGATCACTTCGTGTCACTCTGTGGGACAAGATTAAACTAAAATTATCACGATTGTTATTATAAATGTTGCCAGTTTATTCAGTAAGGAACCAATGGATGTCGCCATCAAAACTCCAATATACAAAACAAATAAGAGCCCTGTGGCTCTGCAGCTCACCTTCCTCAATTTTTGTACAAATGTGTGAGTGAGTATTTTTTACACAGCTTTTAGCTATATTACAGCAATATCACGGCAGAGGACATCAGAAATGGCCTTCACACTTTGTACCAATGTGGGGAATTGAACCCAGGTCTTTGGAGTGATGAGCTAATGCTTTAACCACTAGGCTAATCCACCGCACATTGTATAAATGAAGAAAACATTCTGATTCTACCTTTAGCTTCTAGTATTCTAGATTCTGATTGGTTTGTTAGCAGGATCAAATCTGCATCAGATTATGATGTTGATGATGTTATAACTAGCATAGATAAATAACCAACATTCTTCCTCAAACTCCAGAATTTGAAAATTCAAAATTCTTTCTTTTTAATGTGGTGAAAAACAACATTGTTATTCTTTTACAACCTGTTGTTGAAATGAGAAAAAAAGCTTACTAAAATTACGGGCAGAGCACGGACGACATGACATGACACGATATGAACTCACATGAACATTTTCTTCAGGTGAGCTTAGGTGTACCACAACTAACAGAAAATAATTACGTAAATACTTCAGTGAATTAACAGCTTTAATGATGTATTAAATTTAAACATTTAATTTAATTTCTGTATTTATTTATTTATCAAACTTACATTAATATACATAAATATTGAATCTTTGTCATATTTATCTGCAATAAAGTAGCACTGAAATACATCACTGTTTTATCATACAAATTCAAAATTTAAAGAACTAAAACAAATTTGAATAACAATATGAAAAATGGTCACAGTAATCAAAGTAAGTTGGTCAGTGTATAGGCATGAGATAAAATAGTTCTGTCATAGTTTTGTTTGAATCTTATTTGGTGGGGATTGAGACAGACGAAACATATCTTGTCTGAAGCTTGAAAACACGATTGTGCATTTTCAGTGTCGACCTGTATACTCTGTTTATGAATTGCAATCATTTTTAAATATAAAAAAGTCTTGAAATGCAGTGTAAATGTGAACATGAAAACAAATTTGCCATGATCTCTGTAATAAGTAGGTCAGGTAACAGGAGATTGCCTGTCTACATCCTTGGGGCTGATTTCAGATGAACTGGGGCGCACAAATTTCAGCACCATTTTGAGTTGCTGCCAGCGGGCCTCTGCAGACTTGCTCACAGCTCTGATAGGGCACAAACATAGCAATGAAGAATAAACAACAGAAACAGGCAGGCTACACCTCATGCCATGCATGCACCTCGAAACAAAAAATAGTCAAGTTTTAAAAAGGACAAAATATGTAAGCATGGTCAGGGACAAGCTACACTTGGACTTAATTTAATTGCCTTGTGTCTAAATTTTGGGTAAATATGACAGTTGGAAATGACAGTGATTTTGTTCTGAAAAAGGGAATAAATGATTCATAAACTGACAGAATGATCATAATTAGATGAGTCTGGGATTCCATTAGCACAGGATCCTGCAGCAGCTAAGGGACTGAGTGAGTGATTGAGTATGGTTTTACACTGCTTTTAGCAATATCATGGCAGGGGACACCAGAAAGGGGTACACACATTTTACCCATGTGGGGATTCGAACCCAGGCATGACGAGCCAATGCTTTAACCACTGGGCTACCCTACTGCCCAAGCACCTAAGGGACTGACTGACTGAGTTTGGTTTTACGCCGCTTTTAGCAATATTCCAGCAACATCACGACGGGGGACACCAGAAATGGGCTTCACACATTGTGCCCATGTGGGGATTCGAACCCAGGTCTTCGGCGTGACGAGCCAACACTTTAACCACTAGGCTACCCCACCGCCCCAGCACCTAAGGGAAGCAACCGGGCAAGTTACTGCAGCTTAAGGGTGAAAATGAGTGGGTGACTTGGATAAGTCAGCCTCATGCTGGTTGTACAACGCAAGCCCCTGAGATCGTCTGGTAGGTATCAGTGTTCACGAATAGCGTCTGACCCTCTGACAAATCCGGCAGATTCGACAATGGTCCGATAGAAGTCACAATGATATAGACTGAAGTTGTTATATGTGACATGTGACACTTGTTTGCTGTTAATAAATCTTATGTTTGTTAATAATTTCAATGCCAATTATAAGAAATGTTAAATCTGAAATGTGTGTTTAATTTTATTCTGTGGGTCCTGTGAATTTTCAATGGGTCAGACAGACATCTGAAACTTACAGGACACAATGTCCTGTTACTTTGAAACACCATTCGTGAACACTGAGTTATACATGGACATCCGACTCAAAGATTACTGACTCTAACCTAGCTGGGTGTTGTTCCACCATTTTAATGCCAAGCACCAGGCAGGGTAACAAAAAGTACAATATTTAGCAAGTTGTTTGGAACTGACTGACTGACTGAGTTTGGTTTTACGCCGCTTTTAGCAATATTCCAGCAACATCACGGTGGGGGACACCAGAAATGGGCTTCACACATTTTACCCATGTGGGGATTCGAACCCGGGTCTTCGGCGTGACGAGCCAACGCTTTAACCACTAGACTACCCCACCGCCCTGTTTGGAACTGAAGTAATGATCTTTTGCTCTATCCAATACATGATGGAGGTAGTCATGCGTTGATGCCAGGGTCACTCAGTGCTGCACCCAGGATCTCCGTGGAAGGGGCTAGTTCGCATCATAAATTATAAATTTGTGCCATTGTTAGAGCATATATTTATAAATATAGCACAAAGGTAAGTACAATTAGCAGGAATCCCGTAATGTTGCAAATTGCAAATGAGCTGCATCAGTAAATTTTGACACCATTTGTGGTCACCATGTGAAGCCTCTCATCAGCAATAGCTGATCCATGTCAGCAACATCCAAGTGACACCAGAAATATTCTAATCATATCAGCAATATCTCAACGCTACCTCAGCAATATTTCATCTATATTATCAATACCTCAGCTACATAAGCAATATTTCAGCAATATCAGCAATGTCCAAGCAATTCCAGAAAGTCCCAATTATATGAGCCAAATATCAGCCATATCAGCTGTGTCCCAAACCATATCAGCAATATCTCAGCCATATCAGCACCATCTATCAACAATATCAATACCTAGGCAATATCAGCAATATCCCAGCTATATCAGCAATATCCCAGCTATATCAGCAATATCTCAGCCATATCAGCACCATCTATCAACAATATCAATATCCCAGCTATATCAGCAATATCCCAGCTATATCAGCGCCATCCCATCAATAATAGCAATACCCAGGCAATATCAGCAATCCCGGCATATATTCCAGAATCCCCATAGAGGAATGAACACATACCCTCAGCCTGACAAAACACGATCATGTCCAATCCTATCATTTCACACAGAATTATTTCCTTTTCGTGTGGCGATTTATTTTATCAATTTCAAAATCAACCTTGCATCATTTTCAGGTATCATTTGAAAATTCTATTTCAGTAAAATATGCAAAACAATAAATAACTGGCAAGAGGGAGGGTCTAGCAGGACACATACAGCGATCTATCATACAGGATCTAGGGCAGCGAGGGACAATATCCATACAATAGACACTCCATGCACTCATGATGCATACAATGCATACAATGCAACTAATAAACTATCAACATCTTCATGCAAGACATACTTAGCAACCTGGGTGACATTGTACAAAGTGATCTTAGCGCTAAGGTCATCATAATTTCCAGTGAGTTATGACAATCGTAACGCTAAGATTGTATTGCACAATCAATGTCACCCTGTTGCTACTCAGGACATAAGTGGACATAGCCAAACAGATGCATTTGAGTGATCAAATTACTGTATTTCTTTATCAAATCATTGATTAAACATACATCAACCAAACTTGTAAAAAACAAGGTCAAATAATCTAGGATGAAATATGCCTCCAAACAAATACCATTCTCAGGGATTTATCTAGGATTCCAAACTTGGTACCCATTGCAGACAAAATTATACAATAAAGTCACTGCAAAAATGTAAAACTCGACATTTAAGCCTGTTTGTTTTCACTATTATCAAATGAATCACAAAACCATAACATTTGATATTTATCTGCATAAAAGATGGTCTTTACCAATTTTAATTCGAATTTGGGAATTTAAATAAAATATTCTTCATTGACTATGAGTCTCTGAGAAGGTCTTGATAAATCCCTGATTCCTGAAAGAGAATTTAAGTGAAAATATCCATTTTCCACTAGCTGATACTGCCATCTAATGAACACCTACCTGTCACTCATCTCGGCACGGTACAGCCTGTTGGAAAGGGAGGCCAGAAAGGCCTGAACACAGTCAGGGTCCTCTTGGAGGCCGGCCTTCAGGGCCCTGTGGACAGGAGGACATGGGTGAGTGAGTTGGAATTGAAAATAATAAAGTTCCATAAATAATAGGTGTCTGTTTAATAGGGCTGTAACGAATACACTATGTTGCGAATATCATACGTATCACGAATATTGGGTACCGAATACGAATAATTATTCACGAATACAATATTGTAGTTAAGTGACTGATGCACAATATGGAATGCCCATGTTGACAGTGTTCATTTGTCACAGCAATAACCAGTCATCTCATGACACTCAAATTTGGTATGTAATAGTTATAGATGACAGTACCATGTGCGGCCTTGGCAAACTCACATGACTTGCGCTACTACAAGGCTAGTACATATTGCATATCTCATTTTGAAAAACGACATAAGGGTTCAAGTAAAACACACTCCCTTAAAAATTGTAAATATTCATGAATATTTGGTTCTGATGACCACGAATAACGAATTGAATTCATGAAGGGCTACGGTTCGATTCACCGAATATGCGAGTGAATCGTTACAGCCTTACTGTTTAATGTTGGAGGAAATCATCATAAGTCAGTTACATTAACAGGCTTTGACAATTTTTGAGTGCCATTTTAGAAGTTGGGTAATATAATAATGACAAACTTATGGATAACACCCTCTTTATATTCTGTGAGTGTGATGTTTCGATACAGTCCCTTCTACCATTGTTAAAAGAAGTTATCAGTATTAAGCTTGGACATTCATTTTTATTTTCACAAGTTCACACTAATTATCTGCTACAGAGCTGTGATCCACAGGCCCTCGTGTCTTTGCGAGGATTAATCATTAATAAAAGATTGTTTTTGAGATGAGACCCGACTCGAAACGCTTCACAGTGTAATACATTATGACAAGGCCGGACACTTCGGTGCACCCCACCCGACTGCTTTGCCGATTGCTACGCTACCATCATGCAATAGATTAAAACTTTTTGTAAACATAATCATGGATGATTGGCCTATTGAGCACCACTCATGACACCTACCAGTTCTTAATTGTTATTTCTGCAAGTCGATTGAAACCCTATTTTGACCCTCAACTATACGATCTTGATATCAAATACAAATGGCTGACAATATATTCGCACAAAACTTGGGGGGGGGGGGGCAAAAGCAAGCCCTCTGGTTGGTTGATGTTTGTTAAAGTGACATCTACAAATGATGCTTTCTTTTGAAAAGCCACTGCTGGAATAAAATCTGACTTTTCTTCCAAGTCCAGCAGTCGATGAAAGTAAAAATTCCCAGAGAATTTATAAAGAATGTGCAGATTTAGCAGAGTTGACCAACCAGAGGGCTTGCTTTGACCACACCCCCGTTTTGTGCAGATATATCGTCAGCCATTTGTGTCAAGATCATTTAGTTGAGGGTCAAAGTTGGGTTTCAATCGACTTGCAGAAATAACAATAAAGAATTGGTAGGTGTCATGAGTGGTGCTCGATGGGCCAATCATCCATGATTACGTTTACATGAAGTTTTAATCGATTGCATGCGATGGTAGCGTAGTGATCGGCAAAGCAGTCGGGTGGGGTGCACCGAAGTGTCCGGCCTTGTCATAATGTATTATATTGTAAAGCATTTCGAGTTGGGCGGTCATATCAAATTTATGTATATATAAAATCTTTAATCCTCGCAAAGACACGGGGGCCTGTGCTGTGATCTGCATGATGGTGAAAGTGGTGGTTTACAAGGAAATGTCACTTGTCCTTTCTCAATGTTACTTATCACAGAGAAGTAGGTTTATCATGTTAAGGTTAACTTGAAACCCTGATTAACAAATTACATTGAGCATATCAACACAGCATCAATGCTGGGCCATATTTCACAAGTGATGCTTGCGTTACACCTGTTATAAGTCTATGTTAAAGTATAGGTGTGACAGTTGAAAGACTTAAATTAGTTTTGCCTGAGATGGAATATGAGCAAATGATGCATTGCTTACAGACACTGCTGCAAATTGGAATCTGTTTGCTGTTTGTTGTTGCAAGCCACATTCAGCAGTATTCCAGCCACAAATTACTAAATTTCATTGGTTGGTTTGCTGTTTAATGCCGTCGTCAGCATTATTCCAGCTACATGGCGGCAGTAAATAATTGAGTCTGGACCAAACAATCTAGTGACTGATATTATAAACAACACTCAAGTCTGCTGAGAACACTGTCACAAAGTCACAAATCTGACCATCAAATCCAGTAAGTCATCTTTCGAATTACACTTGAAGAATATTACATGTATGATATCCATATCTCACCTGCAGATGTTGTGAATAGCGTTGTCACGCAGGTTCTCCAGTGTGGCTAGCAGTTTGTTTTTTCTCAGGTTTCTTCTTGGGTGTGGTCACAGTGGGCTTACTCTCATCCGTCACTGTGATCTTGATGTTGCCAGACCCACTCTCTGATGAGGCGTACTTGTTCAGCTTACTGAGGATGGGCGAGGGGCTGACGAGGAAGTCTCGCAGCGTGGACACCATTGTGCTGGCAAGGTTGGGGAACTTCACAGCTAGTTTGCCTATAGCCTGTGCAGTGAATCAGTGTGTTTAGTTTTAAGCTGCGTTTAACAATGTTCAAGCAATATCGGGGTGGGTGACACCAGAAATGGGCTTCACACATTGTACCTGTGTGAGGAATCAAACCCGGGTCTTCTGTGTGACAAGCGGACGCTTTAACCACTAGGCTACCCCACCGCTCCATAGCCTACACAGAAAGAAAGGCGGGCGAAATGGGGGCTCTACTTCTGTGTCACAAAATTATCGGCACACAAGATGTTATCGTCCAAGCATACCGATTGTACAGCAGTGCACATACAACTATTATTAATGGGTTTTGTAATAATATTATCAAAACAAATATAACTATTCAACACAAGACTTGACTAAGAACATTTATGGTACAAATTGACACATAATCCTGTATGGATTACTGAAATTGGAACTGAACTGATATGTTTAGTCAGTGGACACTGAGCTGTGTTTTTAGAAAATCCATTTTTATGCAAAAGAAAGTGTAAAATTTGATTTTATCAAAATATTTTTGTGCAAATAAGGAAAAGAAAGAACATCATTCGAATATGTTGAATATATTACTTAAAACAAGATTCCATATGAGTTCCTTAGAAGGGGTGTGCATTATGCTTGAGTGAGCTCTATACTCAAGAAAAGGCTTATAAGCCTTTAAACAGCATTTAGAAGTGATACACATTAAGGCAAGAAATTATTAATGTCAAATTATCTTGAGGAATACAATGTTTCTGAGAATATTCTTACTCCTTCATCAGGAATGCCATTACCATCAGCGCCACTAACCACTGGCTTCCTTGTTAAGTGTTGCCATTGTTAACTCATCATTATGCCTGGATTAATCCCTGGCTTCAAATTTGTCCATTGACATTACCAATCAGCAACTACTGGCATCCCTTGTTGAGATCTTACCACTGTTATTTCACATGTACTTATAGCTATCTGTTTCCAAGAATTTTCATTCACTCGATGAAGGAATAAGAACATACTCTGAAACATCATGTTCCTTAAAATAAAAAAGTTGACATCCATAAATTCTCGACAGTAACTAAAGTGTCACAAGACAGAGCAAGGACTGACCTCGAGTGCTAACAGGATGAGGGTTGTGTGAGACAGGAGCTATATATAGCGTGGTGTGTCACAAGATGGAGCAAGGACTGACCTCGAGTGCTACCAGGATGAGGGTTGTGTGAGACAGGAGCTATATATAGTGTGGTGTGTCACAAGATGGAGCAAGGACTGACCTCGAGTGCTACCAGGATGAGGGTGTGTGAGACAGGAGCTATATATAGTGTGGTGTGTCACAAGATGGAGCAAGGACTGACCTCGAGTGCTACCAGGATAAGGGTCGTGTGAGACAGGAGCTATATATAGTGTGGTGTGTCACAAGATAGAGCAAGGACTGACCTCAAGTGCTACAGGATGAGGGTTGTGTGAGACAGGAGCTATATATATAAGCGTGGTGTGTCACAAGATGGAGCAAGGACTGACCTCGAGTGCTACCAGGATAAGGGGCGTGTGAGACAGGAGCTATATATAGTGTGGTGTGTCACAAGATGGAGCAAGGACTGACCTCGAGTGCTACCAGGATGAGGGGTGTGTGAGACAGGAGCTATATATAGTGTGGTGTGTCACAAGATGGAGCAAGGACTGACCTTGAGTGCTACCAGGATAAGGGGTGTGTGAGACAGGAGCTATATATAGTGTGGTGTGTCACAAGATGGAGCAAGGACTGACCTTGAGTGCTACCAGGATAAGGGGTGTGTGAGACAGGAGCTATATATAGTGTGGTGTGTCACAAGATGGAGCAAGGATGGCCTCGAGTGCTACCAGGATAAGGGGTGTGTGAGACAGGAGCTATATATAGTGTGGTGTGTCACAAGATGGAGCAAGGACTGACCTCGAGTGCTAACAGGATGAGGGGTGTGAGACAGGAGCTATATATAGTGTGGTGTGTCACAAGATGGAGCAAGGACTGACCTCGAGTGCTACCAGGATAAGGGGTGTGTGAGACAGGAGCTATATATAGTGTGGTGTGTCACAAGATAGAGCAAGGACTGACCTCGAGTGCTACCAGGATGAGGGGTGTGTGAGACAGGAGCTATATATAGTGTGGTGTGTCACAAGATGGAGCAAGGACTGACCTCGAGTGCTACCAGGATGAGGGGTGTGTGAGACAGGAGCTATATATAGTGTGGTGTGTCACAAGATAGAGCAAGGACTGACCTCGAAAGTGCTACCAGGATGAGGGGTGTGAGACAGGAGCTATATATAGTGTGGTGTGTCACAAGATGGAGCAAGGACTGACCTCGAGTGCTACCAGGATGAGGGGTGTGTGAGACAGGAGCTATATATAGTGTGGTGTGTCACAAGATAGAGCAAGGACTGACCTCGAGTGCTACCAGGATGAGGGGTGTGTGAGACAGGAGCTATATATAGTGTGGTGTGTCACAAGACAGAGCAAGGACTGACCTTGAGTGCTACCAGGATAAGGGGGGTGTGAGACAGGAGCTATATATAGTGTGGTGTGTTACAAGATGGAGCAAGGAATGACCTCGAAAAGCTACCAGGATGAGAGGCGTGTGGAGACAGGAGCTATATATAGTGTGGTGTGTCACAAGATGGAGCAAGGACTGACCTCGAGTGCTAACAGGTTTAGGGGTGTGTGAGACAGGAGCTATATATAGTGTGGTGTGTCACAAGATGGAGCAAGGACTGACCTCGAGTGCTACCAGGATGAGGGGTGTGAGACAGGAGCTATATATAGTGTGGTGTGTCACAAGATGGAGCAAGGACTGACCTCGAGTGCTACCAGGATAAGGGGCATGTGAGACAGGAGCTATATATAGTGTGGTGTGTCACAAGATAGAGCAAGGACTGACCTCGAGTGCTAACAGGATGAGGGGTGTGAGACAGGAGCTATATATAGTGTGGTGTGTCACAAGATAGAGCAAGGACTGACCTCGAGTGCTACCAGGAAAAGGGGCGTGTGAGACAGGAGCTATATATAGTGTGGTGTGTCACAAGATGGAGCAAGGACTGACCTCGAGTGCTACCAGGATAAGGAGTGTGTGAGACAGGAGCTATATATAGTGTGGTGTGTCACAAGATGGAGCAAGGACTGACCTCGAGTGCTACCAGAATAAGGGGTGTGTGTGAGACAGGAGCTATATATAGTGTGGTGTGTCACAAGATGGAGCAAGGACTGACCTTGAGTGCTACCAGGATAAGGGGTGTGTGAGACAGGAGGAGCTATATATAGTGTGGTGTGTCACAAGATGGAGCAAGGATGGCCTCGAGTGCTACCAGGATAAGGGGTGTGTGAGACAGGAGCTATATATAGTGTGGTGTGTCACAAGATGGAGCAAGGACTGACCTCGAGTGCTACCAGGATAAGGGGTGTGTGAGACAGGAGCTATATATAGTGTGGTGTGTCACAAGATAGAGCAAGGACTGACCTCGAGTGCTACCAGGATGAGGGGCGTTAGAGACAGGAGCTATATATAGTGTGGTGTGTCACAAGACAGAGCAAGGACTGACCTTGAGTGCTACCAGGATAAGGGGGGTGTGAGACAGGAGCTATATATAGTGTGGTGTGTTACAAGATGGAGCAAGGAATGACCTCGAGTGCTACCAGGATAAGGGGTGTGTGAGACAGGAGCTATATATAGTGTGGTGTGTCACAAGATGGAGCAAGGACTGACCTCGAGTGCTACCAGAATAAGGGGTGTGTGAGACAGGAGCTATATATAGTGTGGTGTGTCACAAGATGGAGCAAGGAATGACCTCGAGTGCTACCAGGATAAGGGGCGTGTGAGACAGGAGCTATATATAGTGTGGTGTGTCACAAGATGGAGCAAGGACTGACCTCGAGTGCTAACAGGATGAGGGGTGTGTGAGACAGGAGCTATATATAGTGTGGTGTGTCACAAGATGGAGCAAGGACTGACCTCGAGTGCTACCAGGATAAGGGGTGTGTGAGATAGGAGCTATATATAGTGTGGTGTGTCACAAGATGGAGCAAGGACTGACCTCGAAAGTGCTACCAGGATAAGGGGGCATGTGAGACAGGATCTATATATAGTGTGGTGTGTCACAAGATGGAGCAAGGACTGACCTCGAGGAGTGCTACCAGGATGAGGGGTGTGTGAGACAGAGCTATATATAGTGTGGTGTGTCACAAGATGGAGCAAGGACTGACCTCGAGTGCTACCAGGATAAGGGGTGTGTGAGACAGGAGCTATATATAGTGTGGTGTGTCACAAGATAGAGCAAGGACTGACCTCGAGTGCTAGCAGGGTAAGGGGCGTGTGAGACAGGAGCTATATATAGTGTGGTGTGTCACAAGACAGAGCAAGGACTGACCTTGAGTGCTACCAGGATGAGGGGTGTGTGAGACAGGAGCTATATATAGTGTGGTGTGTCACAAGACAGAGCAAGGACTGACCTCGAGTGCTACCAGGATGAGGGGTGTGTGAGACAGTAGCAGCTTCCTCTCTGTGTTCATACTGATCTTCTCGCTCAGCTTCATACACAGGTTCTCGGCCTCTGCAAATACATTCACATCCTATCATCTATCGCCAAGTTTTGTTCACTGTCTAAAGACTCTTCTTTGAGTGGCAAGAAGAACTTGAGAAGAACAAGAAGGACAAAGTCATGGATAACAACTTCTTATATTTTGTATCACAGTCTAGGTAATGTGGTAAATACAGTACCTTGTTTACTGAAGTTTTGAGGCTAGGATAAAGTGATGTTATGACAGTTAAGATGTAAGCAGACTGCCAAAAAGACTGATCTTTATGAAAAATCTGTCCTAGAAGGGTAACCATGGTTACATGCTCATCTCTACATCAGAAGGAATATACAACTGCTTGGAAATGTCTTTGCTTGTTTGAAACTGAAATTGGACAACCACTTTGGTTGTACTGTGGATCTACCTGACTGCCCTCTAATGGTCCAGGAGAAGCTCACACTCGCTGTTTATAACTTGTATCTGTTTATAACTCTATATGATTCCACACCACCCCTATCCCTGTCACACATAACCAAGAAGAAAATCACACTCTCTGTGTATTACTTTACCTGACTCCCCTCTGATGGCCCAGAAGAGCAGGTCTACACATGCAGCATTGCTGTAGACAGTCAGCTGGTAGGGGTTGAAATCCCACACCTTGTCCAGTTCCTTGTGAGCATGGACGTGCTTCTTCTCCAGGTCATGCTGACCTGACTGATACAACATCTTCACAAAGTCTTCGATCTCCTTCATGAAGGACAGCGCAGATCTACATGTACATCAACATCCTGTATAAGAGTCGTGGTTTTGTTGGTTTGAATATAAACACTGCACTCAGCAATATTCCAGCTATTTGACAGCAGCCTGTATATAATCAATCTGGACCAGAAAATCCAGTGATTGACATCATGATTGTCGATCTACGCAATTGGGATACTGAAGACATGTGCAACCAAGTCAGCGAGCCTGACCACTCAAAACCCGTTAGTCGCCTCTTACAACAAGCATGGGTTGGTGAAGACATTTTCTAGCCCACAGGTATTCATTGTCTGAGAATCAGTTGGACTGAGTGAATACTACCTACAATTGGTGTGTGTGCTCCCACAATGACGCAAGGATGTTGATTCTAAACTTTAATTCTTATTCTAATTAAACAAATTTCAACATTATCACGCAACGTGTATAGGTCCGTCTCCTATTCTCGCGTGTTTCCTATTCTTGCGGTAAACACGTTTTCTGCTAAAATCGCTGATGCTGTGACACTTAGTGGTTGTTTACATCACCGACTGGTAACTAGGAAGTGGACCAAGTCTGTGAGTGATCAAAATCTTGCAGTGTCACGAATATTGGGGAGTTTATACCAGCTTGGACATATCATTACTTTTTCCCGCCCTTTCCGGCAGGATTGCTCTTACATACACTCAATAACGTTAATTCCTGGTAATACTGCGAGAATGGGAGAAGCCTCGTTTCGTCAATGGCGGATGGCATTGTTTATCACCAGGCTAACGAGTAGTAATTCACCTGATGGATCTAGCAGCTGAGAGATGTAGATGTAGAGGATGTAGAGGAGAAGGCCCTTCATTTAAAAACAAGCATTCATAAGATAAGAATTGTTTGTGTTATTTTTTCAGCCGATATCTGTAAGTACCGCGAGAATAGGAAACGCCTTCCTACAATGTCATCAGATGTGGTTGCCATGGTAACAGGTCATCAGTCCTACACAAACCAAGTTGTTAAGGTTCTTGGTTATCATCCTCTAACAATAACAATGATCCTGCAAAACAAGCCGAGTCTGCAGTCTACCTTTTTCCTGTTCCAGCACATCTCGAAGTAGAGTGACGATGACAACCGTGATCGTCTCACTGTAAGACTTGTATGGGAACCGTGACAGGTTGATACACTGTAACAAGTGAGTATAGTTTCTGGTGTTGGGAATTTGTTAAAATCTCACAATTGATGACTGGTTCACTAAAACCGTTTAATCACTGAAAACAATTGGTTAGCGCCATATAACAAATTTTCATGTCACCGGTATGTTTGTTAATGCACATAAAAATAAAGAAAAACCATGTAGTTCTTAGTTTTTATTTGCAAACAGCACAAAATGCATTTGCAAATTTCACATCCAACTTAAAATGATGCAACTTGCATCTTTAAACGACGACTGATACATTAGGAATATAAACTTCCTGTAGTGCTTATGAAATGTTGATTTAATGACACAGACAAAAACAACCTTGTGAAAAATATTGTTAATACAAACGATTGCTTGGTTGTTTAGTCACTGTGACAACCTTCGATTATTTCAATCAATTGGAACACCACTCATAGTTTCACAGCTCAACGGTTTAAAATTCCATTTGTTCAAGAGCAAATGGCATGGTTTATATTGTAATGGCAAGGGAGTTGTAACTGGTGAGTGAGTGAGTTTAGTTCTATGCCGCACTCAGCAATGGTAGGTATATGGTACTGTTGGGAGCTAAAGTTTAATATTGCCTTGATTTGATATGTGATTGTTTGTTGGTTGTTTATCGCTGCAATCAGTAATATTTGAGTTAATTTGTGGCGATCTGTAAATAATCAAGTCTGGACTAGACAATCCAGTGATCAACAGCATGAGCATTGGCATAAGCAATTGGCATATGATGACAATCAGACATGTGTCAACTGTCAGCGAGCCAAGTCAGCAAGCCTGACCATCCAATCCCGTTAGTCGCGTTACTGAAGATCAATTCTAACCCGGATCTTCAAGGGTTGAGAATGTAAGTGAGTGAACATTAATTATCTGACAGGGCTAAAAGTATAGCCCTTTGTGCATGCTTTATGTTGTGTATTTGCTGCATTATACATTATTATCAAGAAACACACACCTTATGTGACGAATCTGTGAGGACGTCATGCACCATCGTGTCCAGGTTCTTCAGCACATCCTTGCCTAGCAACCGTTTGGCCTGTCAACAAAACACCTTCGCCTCAACATGGCTTCCATCCATCTCTATCCTATATCATTAGGTCAACCTGTTCACTAGCTCCACAGATCTGGGGCACCTTTAACGAAGCAACCTTTACTAAGGTTAACTCCCATTCTTTAACATTGCACTAAGGTTACCTTACTGACTTACAATCACCTTAGTGCTTTGTGAAAGGAGACCCAGGTATCTAGGATTCCAACTAAGTGTCCTTCAGAAAAATGGTTATTTTATTCAAAATTTGAACTTTTAGAAGAGTTGACATTTTACTAAATTTTTAGGAATTTTAACACTGAATTTAAACATAGCATTCCATATGATAATGTTAAACTAAGTATTCATGGCCATGATAAAATCCCATGATTAATGGATCTTGGTTGGACTCTGCACTTCCAATCTCTACACCTCAAGAAAACATGGCCTGCTGTGATGAAGCATCCCCTTACCACCAGGGTTAGCATAAACCTACACTAACCCATGGATCCATTCCTGTGGCTTTTTAGATCACAAATTATCTGCCCTTGATTTTTTATTTACATTAATATTTTACAGACCCACCGATGTCAACACAAGGGAAAGGGACATGGTAAGGGAGGTCACTCATGTTACCTTGAAACCAAACCTACCATAACATTTGAAGGAAATGGAGACATCACAGTAGATTTTTAGGACTTTCTTCCGCGTGTGAGTCAGTTTCCAGTTTTGAATATCTTGTAAAGTTGATTATTATTGATGGGGCTGGCTGCCATAGGGTTGATACTGCCATCACAACATTGAAGTGGTTTGTAACTTGCAATATGATTGGTATGTTAGACCTAGTAGTGTAGCCAATCAGATTGGCAAATGGAAATCAAGGGCAGATAATTTGAGACTGCAAGAACCTGGAATAGATCGAGAGATTAGTGTAGACGTGGAGATACAGAGGATGTTGATGTAGTTACAAGATACTCACCACACTGACAAGAGTCTGCAGATGGGCGCTGGAAAATGGTAAATGATCTTGTTCCGGAATAATTTCAAATCCCCACGGTTTCGTCCGAGTGAAGCTTGATCCAACTTTGTTGAAGTATGTTGAAGCGGGATCAACCTTATCCTCCACATTCAACCCATCCTTCATCGAGACTGACAACGGCGACGGAGACCTCTCCCGATGGCCATCCACATAGTCTAAGTTTGTAGGGGAGGGACTCGTCGGGCTGGGGCTGGGGCTCTCGGAACTTATAACAAGTGATGAAAGTGTTCTGGGTAGGATTGGTCTAAATGTGCTGAAAGCTCGCTTGGACGTCCGATTGTTCTCCTCTTGTACTGGGTAGGGCTTTCCAGTGTTGATGGAGAGGACGTAGGAGATTAGAGGACGCTCTTCATCACTTGACCGTCCAACAGCTCGTGCCATACCAATGAGTATTGGAACAATTGACGAAGCTAGTGTTTCTGAGGATGAAATGCCTTGGCATTATTTGTGATTTATATTTCCAATATCTAAAACATTTAATGCTGTGTTGAACATATTTTCACTGTGCAGTGAAAATATTCACTTTTTCATCCACTTCCTCATTCCAGCCCATAAATACAGTACAACCAGAAATTATTGAGAATTTAAAGATTCTATTATTTTTTTTCACTCATTACTCACGTATTAAATGTGAATATTAGCAGAACATAACTCCTGATTCAAAGACAGGTGAACAGTTAGTATTTTGTCAAGTCACCATGGGCAGTAATGCAGGCTTCAATATGGCGGGGCATACTACTGATCAAAGAAGTTAGAAAGTCGCGGTCCATGCTGTCCCAATATCGGACCACCTCTTCTTTCATTTCAGCAATATTTGTCAGATTTTTCTTATTGACACTTTCCTTCATAAGTCCCCAAACATTTTCTATTGGATTTAGGTCAGGGCTATAGCTTGGCCAATCTAATAATGTCATATTTTGGGTCCGAAACCAGGCCTGTGAATGCTTTGAGCAATGTATTGGGTTGTTGTCCTGCTGGAAAATCCAAAAATTTCCATAGAACACATGAGCAGATGGAAGTAAATGTCCCTCGAGAATATCTGTGTACCGCTCACTGTTCATATTCCCTTCAAATACACAGAGGGGCGTTGCCCCTAACACAGATATGCCACCCCACAAGTTAAATTTCGGACTGTACTTTGAGCGCTGATACAAAGGTTTTTCAGTTTGTTTGGACCAGAATTTCAGTGTATTAGGAAACAGCCACACAGAACTTTCATCTGAGAAAATCACATTGTTCCAGTTAAAATTTCTATGCTGTAAGCACCAGTTCAACCTTCGCTCCTTTTGTTCAGGTTTCATGATCGGTGATGGAATCCTCGACTTTTCTGCCAACCCTTTGCATGCAGCTCAGTTCTAATTGTCTCCTTACAGACAGTTCCTCTATCAATCATATCCAGCCTTAAGTTTTGTAAACTCCTTCGTTTGTTTTTAGAAACAAGAATACCAAGCAGCCTCCTGTCACCGACAGTCAATTTTCTGGGCCTACCTGCGCCTCCCTGGTGCTCAATGCCATATCCATTTGCAATATTTTTCAAAACATGCTAAACAGTGGAAAAAGGGATGCCTGTTCTACTTGAAATCACTTTAGCTGATCTGATGTTCTTGTTATAAGGCTCTAAAATCAATCTATGCTTCTCTAAATCATCCATACTGAGGATCACTGAAAATGTCGTCTGCTAGCAAGTAAACAAAGGGGGATAACTCTTCACAAACTAATGAAAAAAGGATTACTTAACGGAGTTGTCTCTCTTGACTGACTGAGTGAGTTTGGTTTTACGCCGCTTTTAACAATATTCCAGCAACATCACGGCGGGGGACACCAGAAATGGGCTTAACACATTGTACCCATGTGGGGATTCGAACCCGGGTCTTCGGCGTTTAACCATTAGGCTACCCCACCGCCCCTTGTCCTTCTTCAATGAAACTAAGCACTTGATAGCTGGTCAAGGTTGTTTATACTAGAAATCCATTTAAACATATTCCTAAAATTCTCAGTAATTTCTGGTCATACTATATCATACCCATTAACATCCTGGTTACAACTAGTCTTCAACAACAGAGGCGACCAACAGGATCAGGTGGTTAGATTCGCTGACTAGGTTCACTTATGTCATATATATGCCAATTGTGCAGATCGATGCTCATGTTGTTGATCACTGGATTGTCTCAATTATTTATAGGCCGCTACCATGTAGCTGGAATATTGCTGAGTGTGGCATTAAACAACAAACACAAAAAAAAATATGAATATCATGGAGACAAATGTCAAAAACTGTTCTTAATATCACAGGAATGGTTGAATTGCAGCCATTTATTAAAAATAAGTTTCCATGGATATTATACAGTTTTACTCAACAGCAGATTTATGACATCCATGTTTGTTTAATGCCACACTCAGCAAGGGTACAGTTACATGACAGTAGTCTGTAAATAATGATGTCTGAACGAGATAATCCAATGAGTGACATCATGAGCATCAATGTACTGAAATGGTATATCAAGCCTGACCGAAGACCGCTCGTCTAACCACCCAATAATAATAGTAGCAGGGAGAGAAATAATTTTTTTCTAAGTGTGCCTTAGGGCACCAGGTAAATATTTTAGGTGTGCCTTTCAGAAATCAAGTGTGCCCACATGTTTTTAGAATAAATGACTGTAGCAGTGATGATGATCTTTTGAAATTTATTGTCAGAAAACAACAAATGTAACCAGTTTTCTGTTATCACTGATATGTCTTCTGTTTAAGATGGCTTTCTCATGTTTCTTTTGTTCTGCTTTCCCAGCACCTTTAATAGCTAAGAATTGTGTGAGAGGTTCACTTTTTTCAATCTATCTAACATACACAATTTCCTCTTCAATAACTGAACTATCAGTACTCCCAACACTCTAAATGAAAAAACAACCAGATTTCTTTACATGAACCATCATAATTCCAGTGATTTCCTGGGCGATAAAGTCAATAAATGTTTTTACTTGGTTGTCATTTGCATAAGTGTTTTGTTTGGTTATTAAGTGACTAAAGGTGTGTTATGTCTTAGGCGTGCCATAAGGGCACCGAGAACATTTTATATCCGTGCCATTTCGATATTTACCGTGCCATGGCACGCTAATATGTAGGGTATTTCGAACCCTGAGTAGCCTCTTGTAACAAGCATTACAGATCTTCACAATGGCATAATATGTTTTATTAGATTATATGTTTGGGATGACAAATACTTTTAAGGATAACCCCTCAGGGGAGGCTGTCACCCGTGTATTGATTTTATCACCTCTGTGGAACACTGATAATGCTGAAGCCTTCAAAGTCAAGCATTTGTCAGAGGTAAATGTGTAAAATATCAACAGTTTGTTCTCTGAATTAAACATACCCCAACTTTATCCACCTTCAAACACACCACAATCACAATCTTGCAAATAACAAAAAATATATTGTAAATTGTATGCTGATTCTTTAGTTTATTTGTTTGTTGTTTACCACTGCACTCAGCAATACTCCAGCTATTTGACAGCAGTCTGAAAATGATCTAGTCTGGATCAGACTATCTAGTGATCAACATCATGAGCACTGATCTACATAAATTGGATGCGATGATGTGTCAACCAAGTCAGCGAAGCATGATCACCCGATCCTGTTAGTCGCCTTTTAAGGACATATTTTTTTAAGATGAATCTAATAAAAAAACAAACAAACTGGAACTTGTTTGAGTGGCATTTAGACTGACTGAGTTTGGTTTTACGCCGCTTTTAGCAATATTCCAGCAACATCACGGCAGGGGACACCAGAAATGGGCTTCACACATAGTACCCATGTGGGGATTCGAACCCGGGTTTTCGGCATGACGAGCCAACGCTTTAACCATTAGGCTACCCCACCGCCCCTAGTGGCATTTAGAAGTTGGTGTGATGAACAATACTAAAGTATGTAAAATACTACCCTGCCTTTAGTATTGTACATCATTTGCTTGATAATGGTGTTAGTAGCTACACCAAAACATCGCTCATATTATATTAAAGAAGTTGTATATCTATAGAACTCTCCCTGTTGGTTAAAAAACCTTGAAGACAAGCTGATTGAGAACATCTTATTATCTTACCTTTAGGAATTTCATATGCTCCTTCACATAGTTTAGTGAGAACTTCCATCACGTCCAACTGGGTAGAGATGATCTGATAGAAAGTAATATTTGCTTGACATTAGCAACAGTGCTTATGAGATCGAAGGCAACAAAAAACACATTGTCAGACTCATCTACAGTAGGAAATTACTGTTCTTTATAACAATGACAGTCTTGTGTATGAATTGTGAATGAGTCTACTGGGATTTAAGGTCCTGGGGGTAGTGTTGAGGTTAAAGTTTTTGATTGTCACGTCAAAGACCTGGGTTCGATTCCCCACATGGGCACAACTTACAAGGTGTGAAGCCCATTTCTGGTGTCTCCCGTTGTGATATTGATGAAATGTTGCTAAAGCAGTGTAAAACTGAACTCACTCTACAGGGGTTTAATCTGCTTCCATCAGTATGTTGGATATGAAGAGTGGTTATCAAGGCAGGGAAGGTCACTGTATGTTTCAGTGATAATTTGGTATTGCCTTGACTAAACATGTGATTATTATGTAAAGTTCAAAAAGGGTGGTGTGTATATTTATACCTAGGTCATTTGACAGTAACAGAAAACAATTGAAACAGAGCTTTTAAGTGAATGAGCAAGTTTTTAGCAATATTCTGGCAAAATCACGGCCGAGACACCAGAAAAAGGCTTCACAAATTGTACCCATGTTAGGAATCAAACCTGGGTCTTCGGTGATGAGCGAATGCTTTAACCACTTGGCTGCTCCATTGCCCCAGGAGCTTTAAAGCATCATCATTTATGTAACATATGAAAATGAGTGAGTGACCTGTGTTAAATGCTGCAATTATTTATTTTTATTGCATCCTCCACGACATTCAAATGTTTCAGGCCCTGGGTATCATTAAACATTGGATCATCTGAAGAAATAGCCAGGCTGGCACTCGTCTCACCTGATCTTTCAGTTCCGAATCACGAAAGGCCACATCACTGAGGATGGTGTTAAGGCAGAAACTGAAACACTCCGGCATCGGCAGCTCTAAAGAAAAGAAGGAAGGGCTCTCATTGGATCAAACTTTACAATATAAGACTCCAACTCACTTTTATAACTGAAAGATTCTCATTGTATGGATCAAACAGTATGACAGAATAACTCTCACCCTGTGAATCAAACATTATGACAGAAAGACTTTCATCCTCTCGATCAAACAATATAACAGAATGACGTTCATCCCCTGGATCAAACATCATGACTGAATGACTTTCATCCTCTGGATCAAACATTATGACAGAATGACTTTCATCCTCTGGATCAAACAGTATGACAGAATGACTCTTATCCCCAGGATCAAACAGTATGACAGAATGACTCTCATCCTCTGGATCAAACAGTATGACAGAATGACTTTCATCCTCTGGATCAAACAGTATGACAGAATGACTCTTATCCCCAGGATCAAACAGTATGACAGAATGACTCTCATCCTCTGGATCAAACAGTATGACAGAATGACTCTCATCCTCTGGATCAAACAGTATGACAGAATGACTCTCATCCTCTGGATCAAACACTATGACAGAATGACTGTCATCCTCTGGATCAAACATTATGGACACTTACTGTACTTGTTAAGACCTCCAGGCCCAGAATCACTGAGGCCCTTCACAGACCCCATGAGCCTTGGAGAGTCCTAGTCTGAACACTTACTGTACTTGTTAAGACCTCCAGGCCCCTCTACCCACAGGGCCTTGGACAGACTCCTTGTCTGAACACTTACTGTACTTGTTAAGACCTCGAGGCCCTCAACCCAAAGGCCCTTGGAGAGACTTCTAGTCTGAACACTTACTGTACTTGTTAAGACCTCCAGGTCCCTCTACCGACAGGCCCTTGGACAGACTCCTTGTCTGAACACTTACTGTACTTGTTAAGACCTCGAGGCCCTTCAACCCAAAGGCCCTTGGAGAGAGTCCTAGTCTGAACACTTACTGTACTTGTTAAGACCTCGAGGCCCCTCAACCCACTGGGCCTTGGAGAGACTCCTAGTCTGAACACTTACTGTACTTGTTAAGACCTCGAGGCCCCTCAACCCACTGGCCCTTGGAGAGACTCCTAGTCTGAACACTTACTATACTTGTTAAGACCTCGAGGCCCTTCAACCCACTGGGCCTTGGAGAGACTACTAGTCTGAACACTTACTATACTTGTTAAGACCTCGAGGCCCTTCAACCCACTGGGCCTTGGAGAGACTCCTAGTCTGAACACTTACTGTACTTGTTAAGACCTCGAGGCCCCTCAACCCACTGGGCCTTGGAGAGACTCCTAGTCTGAACACTTACTGTACTTGTTAAGACCTCGAGGCCCTTCAACCCACTGGGCCTTGGAGAGACTCCTAGTCTGAACACTTACTGTACTTGTTAAGACCTCGAGGCCCTTCAACCCACTGGCCCTTGGAGAGACTCCTAGTCTGAACACTTACTGTACTATACTTGTTAAGACCTCCAGGCCCTAATCTGAACACTCAACCAACAGGCCCAACCCACTGGACCATGGAGAGACTCCTAGTCTGAACACTTACTGTACTTGTTAAGACCTCGAGGCCCTTCAACCCACTGGCCCTTGGAGAGACTCCTAGTCTGAACACTTACTGTACTTGTTAAGACCTCGAGGCCCCTCAACCCAAAGGCCCTTGGAGAGACTCCTAGTCTGAACACTTACTGTACTTGTTAAGACCTCGAGGCCCTTCAACCCACTGGGCCTTGGATAGCCCCTGCAGCACCTTCAGAAGATAGGGAAGTATCTTGTCCTTGTACTGAAGCAGAAAATGTAGAAATGTAGAAAATGAGTACACAAATATATAGAAAATATGTTCTGGCATGACTTTGTATGCTTCACACTGATTTCACGAGAGTAAAACAAAGGTGTAGACAGACCTGCAGGCCGGATTCCAGGAAGTAAACACCGAGCGCAATGACTGCATCCTGTCCTCGCTGGTCCAACTTCAGGGTTCCACGGGATAATGTAGGGCACAGATTCAGCAGCCGACTCACCTGAACATAGAAACAAGATGGTACATATCCCGTACCGCAAATGCTGAAATGATAGTATGGGTCCAGAGTTGTTAACTTCTACCGAGGCAAATGTTTCTCTGGAAGCCTCTACTTTCACTGGAAAAAGTCTGTTAACGGTAATGTTCACTTCGCTTCAAAATATCTGATACACTCTGTTTGCTTATCTTGTATTTCTCAGCATGATCTTACTATATTGACCTCTCTGACTCGTCAATAAGTTTCACTTTGTCAGCAAGTGACAAATCAGTCCGCCTATGTTTCACTGGTTTGTCTGCCATAACTATGATGAGAATGTGAAACGAGCAAGTAATCTGTCATTAATAAGACTGCAAACTGACACTTATTTAACTGACATTAATTAATATGTGTTTATAGAATTAATTAACCATTGTGAACAGAAGTAACAGAGATGTTTATTCAACAGACTGTTATTTTAGTCAACTACAAAGCATTGTTCTCACAGCGAGTTGATTGTCGGAACTGTTATATTAGTCCGTATTCCGTAATTGAGAGAATCAGGATTATAAAGCAAGCTTTAATGATGAATTAACAACAATTTTGCCGGGACTCAGAGAGTTGTCCCGTTTATCATGTTTATAGAGAAAACCGGATTACACAGTCCGTATTCCACTGCAGTTACATTTCGTACCCACTGCAGTCAAAACACTGTTAACTCTTAACCAAAGAACATTTGCCTGCCACAGAACCCTGGATAAATCTCTGATTCTATCTTTTCCAAACCAGAAGCAATGCAGGTATGGCCACTGCTAGTCCAGCCCAGTGAGGATCTGTGTTAAAGGTCACATAAACCCTAGGGGGTACAAATACATAAATCACTAACTGGCATTGTTATAAATGAAACCCCGTCATTAAAACTACTCATTTCGACCTTTAATTGACTTAAATCGACCTTTTTGACAACAGTGCACAATTCTCACCCGCGAACGAAATTTCAACCAATCAGAGCGGCGCGCCCCTGTGACGTCATGTGAGGAATAGCTTTGAGAGCCGATGCAGAATTCATCTACATTTTAGGGGTAAATTATCGTGTTTACAGGCTTGTATAAACCTGAAATCGTGACAATTGTTGTGGAAAATGAAAGCTATATGTTCTCACAATCTACTGTCATTTAATTTTGTCTCCTGCTTTGCCTAGTTTCCGAAGTTACAACTTGTTTTCATAGACGATTCTGTCAAAATCGATTGGTGTCGTTAGGGCCCTATTTGTATAATGACTGATCCAAATTGATCCCATTTCTGTGTTGTTTTACCTCGATATTTAATCATGTCATGTAAATATCTGTTTGTATTCTCAAAACAGTGTCGGCCCATAAGTTTTCACATGCAATACAGCAATTAATACTCCCTCGCTGTAACCCGTGTTAGGTGGTATAAACCTACACATGTTATTTGTCATCATTCACTTGATGGTCAGTTAATGAATTTATAACAGGTATAATTAGTGGTAACACACTTAGATTACCCGACAAAGGTTCCCATTTGGCATTTCTTGTGTCTGGAGTAAATATTCAACATTATAAACATCGATCAAAGGATTAACCGATAACACGCTGATTGATTAATTACTTTTATCTTACACAGCGAAATTGTCAAAAGGTAGTGTTTATGTATGTAGATTTACTAATCTATACTGAATACACTCTGTCGTGGTCGGTGTTCGCGTAAAAACAACGCCCTTCTTTCAAAGGATTAACCGGCAATACATTGATTGATTGCCCATTATTGGCTAACTAAATTACTGTTTTAAAGAAAGGCGGACATTATGCAATTAGTTGCCAGGTGTGCTATCTTGGGTGACCAATGAGACTATACACCAATACCTGAAAAGATTTATCACTTTTTTTCGTATATATTAAACTGTTAAAAGACACATCATTTGGAACAGTTTTGTGGATATTGATGGATACATTCCTCGAACAAGGTAATGGCCTGATATTGTTCCTATAACTTTAATCTGTTTTAATTTTAATATTTGCATTTTGTTTTTATTCATTTGTCGTGAGTAAACAGAATCATTGTTTTCACCAAGTGAAGTGTAATGAGACAGACAACATGCACTAGGTGTGTGTGTGCTAATTATGATTCACATTGGCAAACTATAAAATGTCTAGATATTACAGTTCTGTTATAAATTCACTATAAGTATCAGCAGATCGCCTGCTTTTTATTTAGTTTCAAAATGCATACAAGTGTGATAATAAACTAATTAGGATTATAAGACCAAATATAAAGACGCATTACTGACTAGTATCTACATACTGGTGAGTGGACATTAACCATGGAATGTAGCAAGAAATTTATCGCGCAGTATTGTGACTTCGACCCCACCTCGCCCGCGGAAGAAATCGTTATGTTATAAGTTGTGTCATGCAAAATTCGCTTTGGTTATGATTCCAATACATATTTAACAACGAGTAGAAAGTAGTCTTGATTTTCTAACTTGATGAAAACAAACTATAATCTCATTAATTCTAACAGATTTTTTATTTTTAAAATGGCGGCGCTCTGTCAGGAACATCCGCCAGTCTGAGGATAAATGGTATTTAGGTTTGTTTTCACTGAAAGTTACAAAATCAAAACTACTTTTCTACTGGTAGTAAAATATGTATTTGATTGATGGCCAATAGGATTTTGCATGACATAGCATATATCATAACAATTTCTCTCGTGGCAGCGGTAGGTGGGTGTCAATATAATACTACTTTACAATATTATTGTTACTCGACCACAACCTCACTTCCGAGGAAGAAATCGCTATGTTACAAGTTGTGTCATAGAAAATCTTTATGGTCATCAATCATATGCATATTTTACTACAACTAGTAAGTAGTTTTGATTCTTTAACTTCCGTGAAGCCGCATCTGAACACAAGTAAGATATCGCTTCAGGCTTCCACAACGCCGCTTCGCGACTCACAAACATAACCCATTTAGCACCTTAACTGCGCGGGTCCTGTGGAAATCTGTGCATGGGGACACCATCGCCCGACCCCTAGGAGCAATTGATGACAAAGCAACGATTCGCATGTCGCCGTTGATGTCGAAAAATCATCAAAATGATGAGCGTGCTACACATTTTCTATACAACTAACTGAAAATCGCTCCTCATATGACGCCACTGCAGTGCTCTGGCGACAGAGTTACGTAAACCTGTCTGTGGTTTCGCTTGGCGGCGAGAGGGAAGCAGGCTAATTTTTGGCCACTTTTAATCGCCGGCATTAATTAACCACAAGTTTTTAAAGAATAAATTTGGTGTTCCGCGATAAGACTAACCACAAATCTTTCATATGTAATGGTTAAAAGAGTAACAAAAACAAAGTTTAGTGGTTCTTTAATGCTGTTTTCATTTCTTAGTTTCCCTATCCTGACGGTCCCGACGCTTAGAACCACCTTTTTTACGTCGCTCACACGGCCGTAGCGTTACACAAGTATAAAACATGCTTATATCAATGTCGCTCCCTAACAATGATACAATGGATACTCATGGATTAAATATCTAAACTGACCTTTGTTCTGTAGTAAAAACAGCTGTAAGTGTCTCAGTGTGTTTACTTATCACAGATTATAGTGTGATTTTGATTGATTGCATCTCACCCAGAACTAGTTTTTCTATACATTTCTAGTTAGAAAATGAAAAGGGGACTTTTTCCCGGATCACTTTTTTTACCAAGGCGAATTTAGGACTTTTTTACGGGTACATCTACTTTCTTACCGAGGACTGCAAATAACCCGGTAAGACTTCCGCCCGTATCCCCCCTAAATGTTAAGGATGAGGAATAATTTCTTTGAATGGCATTTTTAGAAGTTGGATATATGTCTTTCAGATACAATTAAAGAAACATTTTAAACCTCTTCCTTATCAGATGAGGAGTACATTTATATATATATTCAGGTGATATGATTTGACTAGAATGAAATTGAAGGGGGGGGCGGTACGGGCGGAAGTCTTTCCGTAATGGTATGTTGTACAAACCTGCGGAATTATTAAAATTGTTCATTGGCATTTTAGCTTATATAAATAAATATTTAGGTAAATACGTTGCATCAGCTGAAAATAGACTTAGCGTCATGTGTTTATAATGCACTCTTTCATAGGCGACTATCACAACCATGAAGGCAAAGAAAGGTATTTAGTTGGTGTCACTTGTCAGATGGATCACTCAAGTGCCCTGAAGTGGGCAGGGACATGAACTGTTTTGACAGCGGCATCGCAGAGATTACCGGATTTTGATATGTTTTCCTAACACCGCTACGGAGTCCAGGTAAGCTGTGATTTGGAACGAAAGCCTAAATGACCATTCTTACCTTGAGCCAAGGCGTAGGTTTAATCATGCCAAGAGACCTTGCAAGTTGAAGAAGCATCCTGGCGTGAGAACACTTCTCGTCCGCCATTTTGGAACTGGGTTGTCTCCCTTTCACTTATCAACCCGAGCGGTCGCAACTTCACCACACCAAGAAGTTATTTAATAAATATAAAAATAAAGCTTTATACTAAAACCAGAGAATGTACTTTATCGGTATCAATGTTTACAAACATTATTAACTAAGTATTTTACTTGTATATTATTACTTTGATAAGTAAAACATAGCGTTTATGAAGTGCAGTGAGTAAGACTGGGCGACCCGCACTTTTTAAGACAAACGCACGTATCTGTTAATATTTATCAGTTCAGAAATCATTTGCACGAGTGCACAGTACACATGCATGTGCCATGTTGTTTAAGCTGCAACCTCAGCTTGTCAGGGCCTTGTGAAAGGCGAATGCCCTGCTTATTATTGCTGTGGCTGGTAAGATGGCCGATTAGCTCAGTTGGTTAGAGCGCCGTGCTAATAACGCGGATGTCATGGGTTCGAGCCCCATATTGGCCACGAAAGTTTTTGATGATGTTTTTTCAATGCATTATTTCTCACGAATGGCCGTTTGTGCCTCTTTCAGGTATTTTCTTCTCTAAATGAGTTGGTTTTGAGACGCATATGAATGCTTTTCCGGGATATACTATATCCTGATTTGCGTTTTATTTTTAAACCTTAGCACTATATAATTGACCAGCACAGAGGAGGAGTTTCGTCCTTTGCATAGCCGTGTATATCTCTATGTAAAGGTTTTCTCGTTCACCCTTTTTCTTTTCTATTCTGATTGTGAATAGTTCAATGTTCTTATGGAAGACTATGTAAAAGTGTCAATCCAAACTTTCCTTATATTTCTATGCAAGTCGTCAGAGGGCAAGGAGTTTGTGGAGTTTTGCTTGATATTTATCTTCAGAAAAAGAAGTAACCATATTTTGTGCACACATGTGTGATGTGTGTGTTTGGTGTAAGCAATCCATTTGCACAAAAAGACAAGTGCCCATGCAGTACACATGCATGTGTCATGTTGTTTAAGCTGCAACCTCAGCTTGTCAGGGCCTTGTGAAAGGCGAATGCCCTGCTTATTATTGCTGTGGCTGGTAAGATGGCCGATTAGCTCAGTTGGTTAGAGCGCCGTGCTAATAACGCGGATGTCATGGGTTCGAGCCCCATATTGGCCACGAAAGTTTTTGATGTTTTTTCAATGCATTATTTCTCGAATGGCCGTTTGTGCCTCTTTCAGGTATTTTCTTCTCTAAATGAGTTGGTTTTGAGACGCATATGAATGCTTTTCCGGGATATACTATATCCTGATTTGCGTTTTATTTTTAAACCTTAGCACTATATAATTGACCAGCACAGAGGAGGAGTTTCGTCCTTTGCATAGCCGTGTATATCTCTATGTAAAGGTTTTCTCGTTCACCCTTTTTCTTTCTATTCTGATTGTGAATAGTTCAATGTTCTTATGGAAGACTATGTAAAAGTGTCAATCCAAACTTTCCTTATATTTCTATGCAAGTCGTCAGAGGGCAAGGAGTTTGTGGAGTTTTGCCTGATATTTATCTTCAGAAAAAGAAGTAACCATATTTTGTGCACACATGTGTGATGTGTGTGTGTTTGGTGTAAGCAATCCATTTGCACAAAAAGACAAGTGCCCATGCAGTACACATGCATGTGTCATGTTGTTTAAGCTGCAAACCTCAGCTTGTCAGGGCCTTGTGAAAGGCGAATGCCCTGCTTATTATTGCTGTGGCTGGTAAGATGGCCGATTAGCTCAGTTGGTTAGAGCGCCGTGCTAATAACGCGGATGTCATGGGTTCGAGCCCCATATTGGCCACGAAAGTTTTGATGTTTTTCAATGCATTATTTCTCACGAATGGCCGTTTGTGCCTCTTTCAGGTATTTTCTTCTCTAAATGAGTTGGTTTTGAGACGCATATGAATGCTTTTCCGGGATATACTATATCCTGATTTGCGTTTTATTTTTAAACCTTAGCACTATATAATTGACCAGCACAGAGGAGGAGTTTCGTCCTTTGCATAGCCGTGTGTATCTCTATGTAAAGGTTTTCTCGTTCACCCTTTTTCTTTTCTATTCTGATTGTGAATAGTTCAATGTTCTTATGGAAGACTATGTAAAAGTGTCAATCCAAACTTTCCTTATATTTCTATGCAAGTCGTCAGAGGGCAAGGAGTTTGTGGAGTTTTGCCTGATATTTATCTTCAGAAAAGAAGTAACCATATTTTGTGCACACATGTGTGATGTGTGTGTGTTTGGTGTAAGCAATCCATTTGCACAAAAGACAAGTGCCCATGCAGTACACATGCATGTGTCATGTTGTTTAAGCTGCAACCTCAGCTTGTCAGGGCCTTGTGAAAGGCGAATGCCCTGCTTATTATTGCTGTGGCTGGTAAGATGGCCGATTAGCTCAGTTGGTTAGAGCGCCAGTGCTAATAACGCGGATGTCATGGGTTCGAGCCCCATATTGGCCACGAAAGTTTTTGATGTTTTTCAATGCATTATTTCTCACGAATGGCCGTTTGTGCCTCTTTCAGGTATTTTCTTCTCTAAATGAGTTGGTTTTGAGACGCATATGAATGCTTTTCCGGGATATACTATATCCTGATTTGCGTTTTATTTTTAAACCTTAGCACTATATAATTGACCAGCACAGAGGAGGAGTTTCGTCCTTTGCATAGCCGTGTATATCTCTATGTAAAGGTTTTCATCATTCACCTTTTTCTTTTCTATTCTGATTGTGAATAGTTCAATGTTCTTATGGAAGACTATGTAAAAGTGTCAATCCAAACTTTCCTTATATTTCTATGCAAGTCGTCAGAGGGCAAGGAGTTTGTGGAGTTTTGCCTGATATTTATCTTCAGAAAAAGAAGTAACCATATTTTGTGCACATGTGTGATGTGTGTGTGTTTGGTGTAAGCAATCCATTTGCACAAAAGACAAGTGCCCATGCAGTACACATGCATGTGTCATGTTGTTTAAGCTGCAACCTCAGCTTGTCAGGGCCTTGTGAAAGGCGAATGCCCTGCTTATTATTGCTGTGGCTGGTAAGATGGCCGATTAGCTCAGTTGGTTAGAGCGCCGTGCTAATAACGCGGATGTCATGGGTTCGAGAGCCCCATATTGGCCACGAAAGTTTTGATGTTTTTTCAATGCATTATTTCTCCCGAATGGCCGTTTGTGCCTCTTTCAGGTATTTTCTCTAAATGAGTTGGTTTTGAGACGCATATGAATGCTTTTCCGGGATATACTATTAGCACTATATAATTGATCAGTTACTAGAGGAGGAGTTTCGTCCTTTGCATAGCCGTGGGTATCATTTCAATGATTTGCATTTATTTTCTAAACCTCACTATATATCTTCAGAATGACCAGCACAGAGGGAGGAGTTTCATGCAGTCCGTTGTGCTGTATCTCAGCTTGGCCTGTAAAGGTTTTCTCCTTCACCCTTTTGCCGTTTGTGCTCTTTCAGGTATTTTCTTCTCTAAATGAGTTGGTTTTGAGACGCATATGAATGCTTTTCCGGGATATACTATATCCTGATTTGCGTTTTATTTTAAACCTTAGCACTATATAATTGACCAGCACAGAGGAGGAGTTTCGTCCTTTGCATAGCCGTGTGTATCTCTATGTAAAGGTTTTCTCCTTCACCCTTTTTCTTTCTATTCTGATTGTGAATAGTTCAATGTTCTTATGGAAGACTATGTAAAAGTGTCAATCCAAACTTTCCTTATATTTCTATGCAAGTCGTCAGAGGGCAAGGAGTTTGTGGAGTTTTGCCTGATATTTATCTTCAGAAAAAGAAGTAACCATATTTTGTGCACACATGTGTGATGTGTGTGTGTTTGGTGTAAGCAATCCATTTGCACAAAAAAGACAAGTGCCCATGCAGTACACATGCATGTGTCATGTTGTTTGCTGCAACCTCAGCTTGTCAGGGCCTTGTGAAAGGCGAATGCCCTGCTTATTATTGCTGTGGCTGGTAAGATGGCCGATTAGCTCAGTTGGTTAGAGCGCCGTGCTAATAACGCGGATGTCATGGGTTCGAGCCCCATATTGGCCACGAAAGTTTTGATGTTTTTCAATGCATTATTTCTCCGAATGGCCGTTTGTGCCTCTTTCAGGTATTTTTCTTCTAAATGAGTTGGTTTTGAGACGCATATGAATGCTTTTCCGGGATATACTATATCCTGATTTGCGTTTTATTTTTAAACCTTAGCACTATATAATTGACCAGCACAGAGGAGGAGTTTCGTCCTTTGCATAGCCGTGTGTATCTCTATGTAAAGGTTTTCTCTTCACCCTTTTTCTTTCTATTCTGATTGTGAATAGTTCAATGTTCTTATGGAAGACTATGTAAAAGTGTCAATCCAAACTTTCCTTATATTTCTATGCAAGTCGTCAGAGGGCAAGGAGTTTGTGGAGTTTTGCCTGATATTTATCTTCAGAAAAAAAGAAGTAACTATATTTTGTGCACACATGTGTGATGTGTGTGTGTTTGCGTAAGCAATCCATTTGCAACAAAAGACAAGTGCCCATGCAGTACACATGCATGTGTCATGTTGTTTAAGCTGCAACCTCAGCTTGTCAGGGCCTTGTGAAAGGCGAATGCCCTGCTTATTATTGCTGTGGCTGGTAAGATGGCCGATTAGCTCAGTTGGTTAGAGCGCCGTGCTAATAACGCGGATGTCATGGGTTCGAGCCCCATATTGGCCACGAAAGTTTTGATGTTTTTCAATGCATTATTTCTCCCGAATGGCCGTTTGTGCCTCTTTCAGGTATTTTCTTCTCTAAATGAGTTGGTTTTGAGACGCATATGAATGCTTTTCCGGGATATACTATATCCTGATTTGCGTTTTATTTTAAACCTTAGCACTATATAATTGACCAGCACAGAGGAGGAGTTTCGTCCTTTGCATAGCCGTGTGTATCTCTATGTAAAGGTTTTCTCCTTCACCCTTTTTCTTTTCTATTCTGATTGTGAATAGTTCAATGTTCTTATGGAAGACTATGTAAAAGTGTCAATCCAAACTTTCCTTATATTTCTATGCAAGTCGTCAGAGGGCAAGGAGTTTGTGGAGTTTTGCCTGATATTTATCTTCAGAAAAAAGAAGTAACCATATTTTGTGCACACATGTGTGATGTGTGTGTGTTTGGTGTAAGCAATCCATTTGCACAAAAGACAAGTGCCCATGCAGTACACATGCATGTGTCATGTTGTTTAAGCTGCAACCTCAGCTTGTCAGGGCCTTGTGAAAGGCGAATGCCCTGCTTATTATTGCTGTGGCTGGTAAGATGGCCGATTAGCTCAGTTGGTTAGAGCGCCGTGCTAATAACGCGGATGTCATGGGTTCGAGCCCCATATTGGCCACGAAAGTTTTGATGTTTTTCAATGCATTATTTCTCACGAATGGCCGTTTGTGCCTCTTTCAGGTATTTTCTTCTCTAAATGAGTTGGTTTTGAGACGCATATGAATGCTTTTCCGGGATATACTATATCCTGATTTGCGTTTTATTTTAAACCTTAGCACTATATAATTGACCAGC